GGTTCTATATGAAGCCCTTTTAAAAAAGGGTTCTATATAGAACAATATACAACAATCTCACGATGCAAAGAAACCTTTAAGCATGCGAAGGGTTCTTTGATTGTTTATGGTTCTATATAGAGCCATTGTCTTTACTAAAGAACCTTTGAATTTGTATTTAAGGATATTTAAGGATTTTTAATTTATAATTTGCACTGTCAGAGTAGTTTAGTCTAAGACTAGAACTAATCTTTGCACAAAAACAACTCTTAACTGTTCTACAAACAGAGCTCTCTCACTCACTGGAGCTTCAGGGCTTGTGAGTGAGAGAGAAACTGATACTAACTGTACCAGCTGAAGTGGTCAGGCAGAAAGACCGGTTATTATATCTTATGGGAAGATAAATTTCTGCTAAAATAAACAGGTCTGATGACCGTTTTTCCTGAGGACAACTGACACAGAAGGCCAGTCTTCTGGCCACATCTGAAAGAAAAAAAATTACCCCATTAAAAAAAAGCTAGTAATGAACTAGAGCTGCAGCGATTAATGAACAAAGTGAATCCGGAAGCGTAGGGGGCGATATGGCTCCTACTGTTTGATTTAAAAAGTGCTCTATAATGTTCATATGATCCAGTCATTCTGATTGTAATACACTACAGGAAGAGTAGGTGGCATCATAAAAGACGAAATCATTGGACCTTTTAATGATGGTGGCACTGTGACGGGGCAAAACAAAGAAAAAAAAACAAAATCGTTTAGTCAAATAACAATAGATCAGTCAATAGAAATAATAATTAACTGTAGCCCTAAAACGATTAATTAATGCATATCTCACTATGCTATGCACTGTATCACTTGACATTAGATTTGCTTCACCTTAAAAGGTGCAGTGTGTAGGATTTAGGGGCTCTATTAGCAGAGATGGAATAGTTTATAATACGCAAAACCATGTTTTCATTAGTGAATAATCAAGTATGAATTGTGTTCTCGTTAGCATAGAACGAGCCCTTCATATTTACATAGTGAGCGGCTCCTCTTCCAACAGAGGCCGCCAAGTTGCGCTATCATGTTTCTACAGTAGCCCAGAACGGATATACCAAACAGCCTCTAGAGAGCGCCTTTTGCAATGAAGCTGCTGCCAGTACTGGCTGACCGTTTTGTGTTGTGAGAACCCAAATTTTGACAAATGGAGGATCAGACTTATTATTTGGCACAAGAAGAAGTGAAGGAGGGTGAATCCTCACCGCCAAAGAAGAGAAAACATGAAGAAGCGAAACGAAATCGGGATAGAAGACAGCAGAAAACCTGACGGCCACCGTATGTTCTACTACACACTTGAAAAGGGAGCGGCGAGGGAGGAGATTCAGCTGGTTGCAATCTGCAACCTCACCACTAGATGCCACTAAATCTCACACACTGCACCTTTACGTAATTCCAGCATTCCTTTTAAAGTGAAGGATTCCTCAAGGCCTATTTTTTAATGGAAAATAAACACAGACCATGTCATTTGGTCTAGGCCTGGTTGGTGTCTGAAGAACCAGCTCAGAAAAAAAAACATGTAAAACCCAGCACTCCTACAAATCCTGCTTAAGAGACTTTCAGATCACCTCACATACAAAGCGTTTTAGGCTTGAAGACTAAATTTTCACACATAAATATCTGCGATAGTTCAACATTTTGACAGCAGATCCCATTTCGGGAAGAGCTAATTCATTCATCCACTCATTTCAATTCTGCTCGCTAAGCTAAGCAGCTACGTGTTAAAACTAAACATCAAAAATCTGTTATCCGTAAATTCATCAGAGTTTGAGTAAACAAAACAAACACAAAAAAGCCAACATGCATTAACTGCCAGCATTTTGTACTACATTAAAATGGAAACGGGTGCAAATCATCCTTTCTAGACTTATAAATGTTTGCAATAGTTTAACACTGACAGCAAATCCCATTTCAGGAGGTTGCTAAATTAATTTTGCTAAGCCAGTCCAATATATGTTCACACCACATATCAAAAAGGCTCTTACTGAAATTCATCACACAAAACAAAAAAGTCAGTCTGTTAATGGTCAACATGTTGAACTATGCTGTTCAGGTTTCTGAACTGGCCTAAAACAGGAACAGGAGCAAAACAATCTCTACAGGCCGTTACGAATAAACATTCAAAATTCAAGCTTTTCGAGAAAAGCTACCTTGCTGGCTAATTCATCTCATCTCTCTAAGCTGAGCCTAAGCAGTCTTATGTTCATACTACCCATCAAAAATACAGGCTTGGAGTAAACACGAAAGAGAAATGAGGAAAAAGTGCCAACATGTTGAACCATCCAGTGTTTGAGAGCCTGTTTACACTTCGCATTATCAAGTTTTCAGATTTCACTTGACTGCATTAAAAGCCAGGTGTAAACACAACCAGGCGCACTGTGAGCAGATTAGGCTCACGGATTACTGGAGGTGGTCAGAAACAGATCCTGAACGTATTTAACACAAGTGCAAACGGAATGTGTTTTCAGTTATCCGTATAAAATTCCATGAGTGGGAATGCGTCTGCCGAGCGCTGACTATCAGAGAATAACGAAAAGAAAGATGGAGGATACGAGAAGCTGAAGTTGAAGCGCCATACCAAGAGCCTCCACGCACCCCAGGCCGAGCCTGTTCAGTTGTATCACAACGGGAAAAAACGTACAATCGGATCCCGTCTGGTCGAACTGGGGATGCATTTTAGTAAAAAGCATAAATGAAATGCAGCTAAATGTTAATGCATGGTGTAAACAGGCTCTTAGGCTGTGTTCACACAGCAGGTAAAAGAAGCCCAGATCTGATTTTCTCACAAAATCCGATTTATTTGTTTGGCTGTTTATATTATCTTTTAAATGTGATCTATAAGCAACATCAGTCTGAACAGATCAGCTTCTGAACCGACCCGCACGTGTAAAAGAACTTCACGCGGCTCATCCGGAGGTAAACAACCACGAACGCCAGTCGCTCCCGGAAGATCAGCTTCATCTTCACCAGCATCACAGGAGCCAGCATGAAGCTTCACTGACTGACAGCTGGGCTCACCACCCAGAATGTGTTCGAGCTGTAAAAAGGGCGCGGTCACTTCTTTGGTTCGCGTCCTTGGATTCTTTAAACTGCAGCCTCGTTCTCCTGCGGCCGCGTTCGGCCAATTCTTTCCAAATCTCTTCAAACACGGAGGGATTTGGATATGTCTCTAATAATTTTTGTACAGAAACATCAGCCCAAGCGTTCATGGGTCTCAGCAGCGTGTGTTCAGACTGAGTCGCATCGCCACATATCGGATTTCAGTACCACATATGAAAGCGTCTTAAATCAGAACTGAAAATGTCAGATTCAGTGTGTTTATCTGTTCACACTGACACACATCTGTGTCACATACTGAGAAAAAGATCAGATTCAGGCCACTTTGACCTGCTGTGTGAACAAAGCCTTAGTGATACGATCACCTTAACCGGGAGAGAGAGTGTTCAGTGTGATGCTCGCTCTACCATTTAAGAATCTTTGTGCCTGTTCCTAAAACAGACACAGGAACAGCTGATTCTTTACAGACTATTACAAAAACATTGTGACGGTTCAACATTTCTACTGCAAATCCCTTTGTGGAAGGTGCTGATTTCAATTCTTTTCATTAAGCGAAGCAGTTCTGTGTTCAAACTGCACAAAAAACGTTCGGCAGTAAATTTGACAGACTTTGAGTAAACAGAAAAGAATAAATAAACAAACAAGGCTGAACTATCCTCTAGGCTAAAACAGCCACAAGAGCAAACCACTCTCTACAGGCTATTGCAAATAAGCATTTGTGACAGCTCAACATTTTTACGGTCAATCTGATTCAGGAAAAGCCAGCTAACTCAATCCAAGCTACGCTATGCTAATCAGCTCTGTGTTCATACTGTAACAGGTTAAGTAAACAAAGAAACCAAAAGACAATATGTTGAACTATCCTGTTTACTAGCCTAAAACAGCCACAGGAGAAAAATCATCATCATTCACAGGTCACATAACATAAAAGGCTAAAAAGTGAAAATTCAAAATAAAAATAAGAAAACAGGCACAAAACAGTGTAACGTTTACAATTAGAAATCCGACCCCCCCCCTCAGGCCGAGAGGTTTTATATCTATTACTTTTATATCTACCTTTATTTATATTATTGCTCTGTGGAGTCTGACTGATGCCTGTGTGGTGATGGTGGTGCTGTGTTTCTTCAGTCTTTGGTGGGACGTCTCCAACTTCATTTAAAGCCCCAGTCAGGAAAAGCTAAACCAGCATCACCCCACTCTCAGAAACCAATGAGCTCGTTAAAAAACACACTTTGTGCTTTCATTTGCATCGAAAGTAACACAAAATGTGTTGTCCTTAAATGGACTCACAGATCGGTGGTGTTAATGCATCTGTTTGAGACTGAAACCCCACCCACTCCCCCTCAAACCAAATAATTGTCCTATTTATGCTCCGCCCACTTTCACAGCTACCACGGCTGAACTTGGACAACATTTACAGAACGCTGGTAAAAAAAATCCCATTCAGCCTAATGAGAAACTGTAGAACAGACTCAGTTTATATCACAATACCTACATTTAGAGTCAGTTATTCATTCAGCCTAATGAGAAACTGTAGAACAGATTCAGTTTATATCACAATACCTACATTTAGAGTCGGTTATTCATTCAGCCTAATGAGAAACTGTAGAACAGACTCAGTTTATATCACAATACCTACATTTAGAGTCGGTTATTCATTCAGCCTAATGAGAAACTGTAGAACAGACTCAGTTTATATCACAATGCCTACATTTAGAGTCAGTTATTCATTCAATCTAATGAGAAACTGTAGAACAGACTCAGTTTATATCACAATACCTACATTAGAGTCGGTTATTCATTCAGCCTAATGAGAAACTGTAGAACAGACTCAGTTTATATCACAATACCTACATTTAGAGTCGTTATTCATTCAGCCTAATGAGAAACTGTAGACAGACTCAGTTTATATCACAATGCCTACATTTAGAGTCAGTTATTCATTCAATCTAATGAGAAACTGTAGAACAGACTCAGTTTATATCACAATACCTACATTTAGAGTCAGTTATTTATTATAAATGATGTTTATTTTATGTATTTATCTGCTCATATCAGGTTCAGCTTTTAAGTCGTGAGATCAGTAGTGATGGACAATGATATAATATTGGCATCGCAAAAGATGTTTAGATTTGGCCGATATTTCAGACTGATATTTGATGATGTATTTATTGAACTCCAGAAGCACAGAGCGTTTAGGTGACGCTGGGTTACTGCACTAAAACATCTGCGTTTCATTAATTTTACTGCATTTGGAGCCCTCTGTTACACTAATCCAGGTAAATTTAGTCTCAGTTTCCACATTTTATCAATGTTTATGTATCGAGGTCGACAGAAAAGTACAGATATCAGCATCAGGCCTTAATGACCATAACAGTTTCGTTAGTAGTCGAGGTAACGTCAGCATGGTGGCAAATCTGTTGCAGTTTCCAGGCTGCTTAGTTTGGATTGGCTACAACACAGTGCAGCCCATTAGTGTAGCATTTTGCTGGAAACTCAACATTATATAGTGAATCTTAACTCCAACCTAAATGAACTAGGTTAAATGGGATTCTTTAAACAGCAGCTAAGAAAAAGCATGTGTGGGCGGAGCCTGAATAGGTCAATTAGCTTATAGGGTGTGTTCATACAGGTGTGATGAAGTAGGAAAACACTCCATACCATAGAGGTGTTGGTCTAAACTACATTTTAAAAGCCTACAGCTGTGACTACAGTAGAAACCACAGTCTAGATCATCATCACTCATGTTTCACCCAGATTGTAAGCTCTCTCAGCTGGAGCAGTTCCTGACTGGGGCTTCCACTCTGATTCCCCCACACTGGAGTGTCTGTAACTCCGAAAAGTGACCAAGGGGAGTGTTATCGAAAGGCGCACAGTGTGTAGAGTCCTGACATGGAGAGAGAATCTGTGGCCAGGCCAGATTGATGCTTTGACTGCGCCTTGACGCACGCTGAGGAGCCCTCTTTGCACATCCAGCAGGAGCACAGAAGAAAGCAGGAGGAGAGAAGGTCTGGACCAGAGCCAGCCAGCTCTTGCTCCTACATTCCTCAAGGCAACTTCTCCAAACCTGCTTTAATTCTGCCTCCAAACCGTTTAGAACTTACTATTGCACAGGGTAGCATCTCCATCTCTCTCCTTATGTTTATGTCTCTCGCCCTCTCTCTCTATCTCTCTCTATCTGCTGAGGCGGAAGCCTGTGGTGCCGTCCGGCCCCAGCGGTTGGCGGATGATGTGATTGTTTGGGCGCAGGGATTCTGACACCAGTGGAGCTCCGGCAGGGGCAGACCTGAGAGGAACAAAGGGAAACGAGAGAGACGATGAACTTATCACGTAAATTATTCCTCAAAATGGGCTCTATTGAAGTGCCAACCCACAGACTGTGTTAGAGTCAGTCTGAAATCCTGCTGTATAATAAATCCTCTGAAGTTTATTCATCTCCCTGATCATATTAAAGAGCCCATCTAAATATTCTATAGTTTGAAATAGTGTGTAAACTTTAAGATTCCAAAACATACTGTTCACTCTTCAGTCCATGAAGACTGAGCTATATAAAACAGTCCGTTTTAGAGTCATTGTTTTTGTGATGTCACAAAGGTTTAGCCCCGCCCATTATCCCCGTCTTTAAAGCAGAGTAACACAAACAGCCTGTTTCATTCTAAGGGGTAAAGAGAGGTTGGAAAACGGTCATGTAAAAACTAATTAGGCCTGATTTTCATAAATAAACCCACATAAACCTATACTGACCTCGCGGCACAAAATAAGAGCAAAATGAAGGATATCGGCACTTTAATGATTTAAGGTGCAATGAAAATGACATTTTACTTAAAAGACAAAAATAGTCTTCCACCAAAATGTAATGGCTCTTGCTCGGCCTCTAAAACCTCTTCTGATTTTATAAATTATAGATAAATCATCGTCATAGATAATATAAAACGTAAACATATTTTCAGAAATGCTGATATAACCATAATTGTCAAGTGTGCAGCATTTTCCTGCAACAATATGCATTTTATGGGCTGTGGAAAGACAATTCATGGCTAAGTATTCATGTAAAAGTTTAATTTTGTGACAAATATAACCTAATCTAGGCTACCTGATCCATTATTCCATAGCTTATGTCTGGAGCCACTAACTGCATGTATATGAAATAAACTGTCTGAAACAATATTAAAAACACATTAAACACTGTGTAAGAATGTGGTTTAGCTTAACTATGTCGTAGCTATTGAACTCGGCAGACAGCTGATAGCTCTCTAAAATTGATTTTGTATTAAATATATTCTTGTCATCCGGAGTTATGAGCCTATGAAGAGGGGCTGAGATACACGTCATCTGCCTCTCACCGTGTGGAACTGGTGGATTTGTGTGTCCGTCTACATTCTGTGTGAAACTGACCAATGGACACTCAGGAAATCACTAAGGACTGACCATCACGCCGGAAACCCTTCATTCTTCATTCAGTCCACATCGGAGACTCATGTGAGTTTACAGCTGCTGAAGTTGCTGCAGCGGTTTTGGAAAGTAGTGATGAGGAGAACATTTATCTACTATTTCATTAATGCATTCCGCTACTTTTGAGATCCTAAGACTCTGGTAAACACATTTCAAGCACCAAAACAATTCGTACAAAATACAAAAAACATGTAATACATACATATAAAGTGGCTGTTTTATTTTTGTTCACCCCTAGACTAGTGAAAGTTCGTCAGACAAAATGTCCTTCTGAAAGTCGCTTCATCAGCGTGTCTCACCTGTCCGTGTCTGGTCTTTCCTGAGATGGCTCCTCTGCGCTCCCCAGAATCCTCCTCCTCGCCTCGGCATACTCCGCCTCTCTCTGAGCCAAAGACTTCACCTGCTGCGCCGGCCGCGATGCCGCCTGTGGCCCCAGAGAGCCGTTACTGGGGGGCCGCTTCAGGATCCGGATCTGCGGAGGGGGGGCCGCAGGCAGAGATTCGTCCTGAATCACCACCGCCGTCTTAACAGGCAAACTTTGGCTACTGCAGGGGACGGAGATGAGGGTTTATACGGGCATCAGTGTTATCTTTATTTAATTACATAATCTCATATCACTGCCGTCGGAAGAAAATCTTGTATCTCTATTTTTGTCGTATTTCGGTTTTTGACATTTTCTTGCAACAAACGCGATACATAATTACATATATATGCTGTCCAGAATAAAACAAGTATCTCCAGAATGGTAACTTTACAGGAACTGTGGTTTTCGTTGGACTGCACCAATGTGTGTGTGTGTACATATATTCGTTCAATGAACCTACATGGAAAAATAAATCAAAACAAAATGTGATAAAATAAACATGAGGTGTAAATGAATTAGTGATCATATCTGCTGGCGGCTTTAAAAACTGTTTCAAACAGTTCCAACTCACTTTGATTTCTGATTGATCTTCAGTTTGGCCTCCAGCCGTCTCTCAATCTCCTGCAGATAAAACAAGAGTGATCAATTATTCTCCGGAAGAGCGGTCCACCTGCACAGGTTTGCATTTTCTTGTCCACTTTATCAGCTCCACTGACCATACAGGTTCACCCTGTAGTTCTACAGTTACAGATTGTAGTCCATCTGTTTCTCTGCATACTTTGTTACCCTGTTCTTCAGTGGTCAGGACCCCCACAGGACCCCCACAGAGCAGGTACTATTTGGGTGGTGGATCATTCTCAGCACTGCAGTAACACTGACGTGGTGGTGGTGTGTTGGTGTGTGTTGCGCTGGTCTGAGTGGATCAGACACAGCAGTGCTGCTGGAGTTTTTAAACACCTCAGTGTCACTGCTGGACTGAGAATAGTCCACCAACCAAAAATAACCAGCCAACAGCGTCCTGTGGGCAGCGTCCTGTGACCACTGATGAAGGACTAGAGGATGACCGACACAAACTGCGCAGCAGCAGATGAGCTATCGTCTCTGACTTTACATCTACAAGGTGGACCGACAAGGTAGGAGTGTCTAATAGAGTGGACAGTGAGTGGACACAGTGTTTAAAAACTCCAGCTGTGTCGTATACGGTTCTATATAGCACCAAAAAGGGTTCTTCAATTGTTACAACGTTGAGATCATCACAATAGTGGAACCCTTGTTGGTGCTCTATAGAACCAACACATTCTCCATCAATCTGAAGAACTACTTGCAAAGAACCATTTAAGCATGCAAGTGATTGAGTGTCCATTGTTCTATAAAGAACCTCTGTCTTTACAAAAGAACCCTTAAAGAACCATTTCTTAGAAGTGAAGCTGTGCTGAACTTTAGACCCCATGACCACAGCTGACCTCTGGCTGGACCAGGTGGACACTCACCTCAACACTGGCGGCTAAAGCTACCAAACTGAAATGAACTTCTTATTGATTTTCCGTTCCACCTTAAATGGAATGTAACTGCTGCACCATTTAAGGTGGAATGGAAAATTCTTAAATGATGCCAACTCCGGCTTGTTCGAATTTTCCAGTTCCACCTTAAATGGTGCAGCAGTTACATACTTTTTCGAATTTTCCCGTTTCCAACATACGCGATGCCGCACCATTTAAGGTGGAACGGGAAAATTCGAACAAGCAGCTGGCGAACAGGAAGCCAACTAACATGCCACGTTGAACATACAACCAATAACACGCAAAATAACACAAAGACGTTCACGATGACAGAAACTAGACCCCGATACGACCGTAAACAGACCTATTACCCACTTCGTTTAACCCTCCTTCTGTATTAAAGCCCCTGTTCTAACCTGGTGATGATGCTAAGCTAAGCTAACCGGCTACAGCTACAGACGGTAAACAGAGTTGAGCGACTCTTTAAGGCCTCAGAGCAGCGAGGGCTAAAAATACTCATCTCAGACACAAATATCGGGTCAGCAACACGTCCGAAAACAACAGGACAGGCTCTCCGCCTCACCCCGCTGTCCGCAGCGTCCTCCCAGTTATCGGACACATCTTCATCTTCCATCCTCAGTTTAGTTCAGCTTCACAACTCCGGCTAAATAAATACAGACTCAAAGCGCTACTTTTATTTTTGGGGGGGGGCGATGCGCTTTTCTGCCGCCTGGTGGCGCCAGTGAGCCCGTGCACTTCTCCAAAGGGGCATCGAGTTGATATAATACTCCTTTTTTTAAAGGGGAACTTCACATTTTTCTTAAATTCTACAAAATTAAATGGTTGAGATGTAAACCTCAGAGTGGTTTGGCGTGAAATGGTTGATTGTAGAGAGATGTCTTTACAGTGGTGGTGATAGGAACCAGGGGTCGCCATGACTACAACACAAATATAAACATTTTATTTACTATCAAAAACCACCAGTTAACTTACATGTGCCTTCTGAGTTTTTTTGGATTGTTGATGATGGTACAGTAGTGGAAAATCTGAAATAATAAGTTTTCTTTGGGGACTATTTTGCCTTAGAACACCTTTCATGTACCCCTGTAATATGCTACATAACTACCTCAGAACAGTGTCTCAGTCATCAGGCAGTGAATTCATAACCATTTCATGTAGGAACTTTCTGTGAGGGAGCTTTTAGAGGTGGACGTCTGGTTCCTATCACCACCACTGTGAACAGTTCTGACTCGGTAAGTTTATCTAGAACAGAGCGTTTCACACCAAACCACTCTGAACCACTCTGTTTACATCTTAACCATTCAATTGTGCTGATATTTTGAAAATATCCGTGGAGTTCTCCTTTAAAAGGCCTCCAACGCACCAATGACGCAGCCCAAAAGATGACGTAGCGCCCGCGGCGTTCTACGTGCGCGCCACCGCCTCTCCCTCTTGTTGTGTGCGTGCGCGCTCCCGCTGGGTGAAGATGGCGGAGCGGGACAGCAGGAGCTGATAAAGGAGCGCAGCGAGCGGAGCGAGAGCGGAAAACAAACACGGACAACGGGAGGACGCTCACAGCACGGTAATGCGCACAGGCCGAACCGACCCGGGAGATCGGCCCGGGGACAGCCAGCCTCTGAAAACGGCGCGGTTCTGTTTTGGTGATGAAGCTAGCGGCGTTAGCTTTGTTAGCTTCGTTAGCAGTGTTTGTGTTTGCGGCTGAAATAGCGGCCGTTTCACAGCAGCGGGATTTACTCAGCCGCAACATCATAACAGCGCTGTAAAGGACGCTGTCTGCGGGGTTACCAGTGCGGCAGGCCGTTAGCGGAAGGTAGCGGTGCACAGGGGTGTGTTTGTGTTTCTGTGCCACCATTTTTTGGAATGAGATTGCAAATATTGCAATAACGTCTCTCTCTCTCTCTCCCTCTCTCTCTCTCTCCCTCTCTCTCTCTCTCTCTCTCTCTCCTACATTTATTTCCCACTTTCTTTCTCACTGTCTCCTCTTCTCCTCTCTCTCTCTTTTTCCTGTCTCATTCTGTGTATCCCTCTCTCTTCTCCTGTCTTTCTTCCTGCCTCTCTCTCTTTCTCCTCTGTATCTCTTCCTCTTCTCTCTCTCGCTCTCCTCCTGTCTGCCAAACTTTTTCATTTCTTTCTCTGTCTCTTTCTTCCTCTTTCCTTTTCTCTCTGTCTTTTTTCCTCTCGTTCTTTGCCTCTCTTCTTCCTGTCTCTCTCCTCTTGTTTGCTGACGTTTATTTCTCACCGTCATTCTCCCTGTCTCTTTCTTCTTTCCTCTCGTTGTTTTTCTCTTTCTTTTTCATCTTACTCTCTCTCTCTCTCTCTCTCTCTTGTCTTGTCTTTTTCCCTTTATTTCTCCCTTTATTTCTCTCTCTCTCGCTCTCTCTCTCTCTCTCTCTCTCTCTCTCTCTCTCTCTCTCTCTGTCTCTCTCTCTCTCTCTTGTCTTGTCTTTTTCCCTTTATTTCTCCCTTTATTTCTCTCTCTCTCGCTCTCTCTCTCTCTGTCTCTCTCTGTCTCTCTCTCTCTCTTGTCTTGTCTTTTTCCCTTTATTTCTCCCTTTATTTCTCTCTCTCTCGCTCTCTCTCTCTCTCTCTCTCTCTCTCTATATATATATATATATATATATATATATATATATATATATATATTATTTCTCAGGTTATTTCTCAAGTCAGAGTAGCTTTATTGACGTGACTCTTGGACTTTATAAAGCGAATATCAATTATAGAACTAATGATAGTAATAACACATTAATAATATGTGATTTACCAGTAATACGAAATAGGTAAATAAGGTAAGTGAATTAAATAACGCAACACGCATTAAACAAATAAAACGACGATAGTCAGTAGCTGATGGTGCACCTGGAATATCTGCACTGTTATTTTCCTAACAGCCTTTCTGTGGAAAGGACTGTTATAACCCTGAACTGGGCGCTGGCTGATCTTCAGGTTTGATTCGATTCCAAGGTGGAGGTTTGATTCAGTTTTTGATATTTTAAGTATGTCACAGAGCTCTAATTACAAGCTTAGATAAATACAGTCTTGAGGAAGTTATTCCTATGTGCCCTCTAGAGGTGGGAGATATGATGATGTTTTATTGCTATCATGATAAATTATGTCATGATACATCATGGATGTCGTCAGTATTTAAAGAAAAAACGTAATATTTTGATATTAAAATTTAATATTATTAACTGACTGAATACGTTTCATTACAAAGAGAGCATAATTAGCTTGTTTAACTGGATTTAGAGCAGTGCAGTTTGTAAAACACTGAATAAAAATCACTGTAGTTATTATTATTATTATCATCATTTATTACTGTATGCAGCATTGCAGGTTCTATTTTGTCTGTTCCAACTAATTAAATCTCAGAATAACTCAATATCATGATGCATGTCGTGTTTTGAAATTGATTAATTTGATTCTGAGGCCAAGGTTTGGTTCGATTTTTGACGTTTTACATGTTAAAAATGTTACAGATCTCTTATTAAAAATTACATAATAAATGTAAATCCAATCTTAAATGAAAAGCTTTTTTTTTCTGTGCGCCTTCTAACATAATAAACCCCGAAATCATAAGCTTCTCAGTTGTGCGAGTCATTTCACAAAAGACTGTAAAATGATGCTCAGAAGTGAGATACAGTCGTAATTCTTAGTTTTTTTGTTGTGTGGTGGCACGGATTCGGCAGGTCAGTGCAGTCGTGATGTGTCTCAGTGAGGTAGAGCAGGTAGAGCCTCACTGAGCGACTGTAAACATCAACACAGGTGCACCCTCATGTATGATATCGAGAGATCAGCGCGTTGACAGCCTATGTATTGATATTTATAGCGGACTGTGTTACTGTCTTAACATTTTGAGTCAGATGCCTTAACTGAGTTACCGTGGTAACAGCCCCCAGTGACGGTAAACTCTCAATTACTGCTGATTTCAGAATCAGAATCCAGCTTTATTGGCCAGGTTTGCTTACACATACAAGGAATTTGGTTTAGGTTACAGGAGCTCACAGAGCACAGTATGAAACATTTACATGTAGTGAATAAAATAAGATAAATATAAAGTAAAATAAAATACAATAAGATAAAATTCAAAAAAATAAAATAAAGATAAAATAAAACATGCGTTCCTACCATCACTCACTCATACACACACATACACCAGTAATTTAAAACAACCACATTCATTTGTGGCTTTATTTCATGGATGATGTGATGTTCTATATTACCACCAAGGGCTGTGCAGAACGGCGATATTTCCCTTGATCGTGATAAATTCTGTCGTAGTTTGCTCTTCTGAGCCGGTCCAGGACGTCGTCTGTGCTTGAAGCCCTTCCCTCCTGCATGTTTGATTACAGAGAGAGTTAATTAAATTTAGTGCAAGTGAAATGTTAAATATCGTTATTGGGGCTGGGCTATTAATCAAAATTAATTTCACTTACAATTTTAGCTTCCAACAGTTATCAAAACAAGATAATCGAGATGGAATGAGGCACAATAATCGCTCTGTTTTGTGCTGATTTTGTTTTGTCTTGTGTTAAATACATCGTTGCACTCTAAAAAGCCCAAACTCAGCTAATTTATTTTGGTGTAGTTGACTTTTATTTATTACATTTTTCAGTTTTTGATATAATTTGAAAATACCTGTTGGTCTTTACATTGTGTGTAAATTTCATGATGAATGAATCGAAAGAAACGGCCCAAAACGACTTGGAAAAATTCTGGTTCCATTGACTTACATTAAAAGTAAAGAATGTTTTTCCTTCTCCTGTAAAGTTAATTTGGAGATACAGGGTTTTTCTGACAGCAGCAGTATGTTTAGTAGTTTTCAGTAGGGTGTGGAAGTGGACCACAACATGGTTGGTCTTATTTATATTGTATCTATTTTTATTAACTATTCTTGTATTATTTATTTAAGATTGTGTGCGCACATATATTATTTATTTTATTTATTTTTCTTTTTTTAGCCTGTTTTTTGTTTCTTTTTAGTTGAGTTATATTTGAAGGTCAAGAAAATCCACTGTCAAAAACACAATTTAAAAAAAAAAGTTGATGAGTAATCGTCTGAAACTATCGTGATTATGATTATTAATCGAGTCACCCTTATTTGAACACATCAGCTACGCTTTACATTCACTTACATGTGAAAAATTCAGAAATGCTCCAAAAATATTTGGAATGAAATATCCTCACATTAACTTACATTAAAGGTGAAGTTTTATTTTTCTGTAAATACTTCAGCAGATGCTCCTGAACCCGGTTTAACCACCTACTGCGATTATTTCCCACACGGTTATCCGAATGAAAGGGTTCTGTTCCTGACGCGGTTCTGCCTCTAACGCACCGTCTATAAAAGGCCGTATGGCGGGTAATTTGTAGCAGCCGTTAAGTGAGGTTTGGAGAGCCGTTCCCTGCAGGTGTTCCTCTGCTGGAGGACTCTATTATTATGGGATGAAATGCGATGCCCCAGAGGTTTCGTATATGCACTCAAACGTGTCTCCTCTTCTGCAGGCAGCATGTCCCGGTCCTCCGACAGCGAGGATGGCTGCTTCGTTGACATGGACACCGAGGACAGCGGGGTTACACTAGCCAGTCACGCCGAGGACCCGGCCGTGGAGATGAAGGCGGGCGACGTCGCCGGAGAAATGAACGCGGACGGCTCCCATCAGCCCGGGAGAAACGGCCAGAGAGTGATGGGGGAGCTGCCGGAGGAGGTTCTGGAGTACATTCTGTCTTTCCTTTCGCCGTATCAGGAGCATAAGACTGCAGCCTTGGTGTGCAAACAGTGGTATCGCCTCATCAAAGGTGAGTATGTTAAAATGGGTACTGCAGAGCTGGGGGTGGGCGATATGAGGGTGTTTTATCGTTATCGTGATAAATTATGTCACAATACGCTTTTCTGAGCATCATAAATATCGTCAGTACTTAAAGAACACAAAGTGAGCATAATTAGGCCCGATTAATTGGATTTACTGCAGTGCAGTTTGTAAAACACTGAATAAAGATCATAATCAGTTGTACAAACTAAAAAAAAAGATGGTTCTTCAGGAATAAAAATGGTTCTATATAGAACCATGGACACTCAAAGAACACTTGGCATGATTAAATAGCTCTTTGCATCATGAAAGGGTTCTATATAGCACCAAAAAAGGTTCTTCTATTGTTACAACCTTGACATCGTAACAATAGAAGAACACTTTTTGGTGCTATATTGAACCATTTTCAAAAGGGTTCTATTTAGAACCAAATACATTCTCCATCAGTCTGAAGAACCATTTCACAATGCAAATGACCATTTAATCATGCCAAGGGTTCTTTGAGTGTTCATGGTTCCTTTACTAAAGAACCTTTTTAGAACCACCTTTTTTAAGAGTGTAGGATTATTATTATTATTATTACAGCTTTTAATGTGGCACTGCAGCTTGTATTTTGTCTGTTCCAACTTAAAGGTGCGACATAAGTAAAGGTGTGTATGTGTGTGATTTAATTTTAATTAATTTAAAATGATTTCAATCAAAATATGACAGGCTAATCTTAGATCATAGTTTTGGTTCCCAGTGTTTCATTTTCTAGGTATATATGTGTTGGAACATATATTGAAACTACAGTTTGTGGTGATATAATCACAGTGCTAGTATTTTCTCCATACTGTGCAGCTCTAATAGTGTGTTTGCATTCGCCCTCATCACTCTGACAGTAACCCGTCTGTGAGTCTGAGTCATATTGTGCTCTCGGCGTTTCCTCAGTTCTGTCAATTACCCTTTACGACTCTTCAAAGAGCTTCACTGTCTCCTCTACTGTGTCTCCAGGTGTAGCATATCAGTGTTACCATGGGTTCCTGAAGGCTGTGCAGGAAGGAAATATCCAGTGGGAGAGTCGCACCTATCCGTATCCGGGGACGCCCATCACCCAGCGCTTCTCACACAGTCAGTACCCCCCCCCCTCAGCCCACCTCACGTCTCAGCCACACACACTCTCACACAGGGTAAATAACAGAACACAAGCCGGAATAGACTGACGTCAAGATTGGCGCAGAAATTTACCTGGAAAAGATCTGGTACAGTTCCTGTGAAATACCTGGAGGGCTCAGAGGCTCAGGTGTGAACAGAAGCCAAAACTGATGCTTTTGTTGAGTTACTAGATATCGTGACGTGTATACAAAGGCATATTGCTGTTGTCGGGTGCAAACCTTGTATCTCCAATTTGGTAACTTTACAGGAGAAGGAAAAAACCTACTTCACTTTTAATGTAAGTCAATGGAACCAGACTTTTTTCCAAGTAATTTTGGGTCATTTCTTTTGGTCCATTCATTATTAAATTTACACACAATAAAAAGGACAACAGGCCTTTTCACATTGTTGGAAACTGAACGATAAAAATGGAGATACGAGATTTTGTTGCGACAGCAGCGATATAGAGTACTGTGTATACACACATACAAATAAGCCAGTAGTGTGTTTTGTGCATGATTCTAGTGGGGCGCTGCTGGAGAGAAGCGCCGGAGTGGCTGCTACTGTGCGAAAGTGCAAAACAGGATGTTTCGGTGACATTGAAACTGATTTGTGATTTTTTTTTATTATTATTTTTTTTTCTTCTGATTAATATTATAAATGAGATTTATCTTTATTTTCTATACATTTAGGTCCAGGCCAGCATATCCACTATTTCTGGCTTAGCGCTGAACATACAGGATCACCTAACCGCTACTATTTAAGTTGACCTCATTCTTTTTCCATTGTAATTAGCTTTCAAAACCTTCTGTTTATACTGCAACACGCGTTTGGTATTAGGTAAACGCATGTAAACAAAAATGCATTAAAAAGACATCATTGGTCATACGGGAACAACAAAACTTCTAACTTCTAACTGGTGCTTTAACACTTTAAGTGAACACAAAAAGACGATTAAATTGTTAATTACAGTTATTAACATGGCAATTAATTGTCAGCAGTATGTCATGGGCGTGGTGCCCCAGGCTGCCAGTTACTTGCGGTTGTGCTGTCACGGCACATGGGTGTTCTTTATTTATTTATTTTATTATTATTTATTATTTGCACAAGGTACAGTAAATACACATAAGAAACAACAACAACAAAAAAGAGAGTGTGTGCAGTAAAGGAAAAAAAGCCCATAAAGGGCTTGTACATAGTACTGAAAAAAAGATTATTAAATTTAATTAAATAAAAAAACAAGCAGACAAAATCACAAAAGAACACTAACACACAGTTAGAGTGAGAGTAGATGAGCTTCAGCCTGATTGATCTGACATGTGGTTATTAGGTTAAGTTCACTCGCTTAAAACCTGCTAAGACAACGTTGTAAAAATGATTGATCTTCCAGCCTTTACGAAAGGCCACAATCTTATATATGATATACACTCGCTGATTGGAACGTGCCGACGCTGTTGCTCTCACTGGACGTTGGTGATAAAAAATGGAAACTGCATTCACTCTGGAAATCGTGTGGTTTTTAATGTTCAGGTTCTGCTTTCTTGATAACATTATTAAATTACTGAAAGTAATAAACACATCCTGCAGACGCTTATTTCGTCCACTTATATTGCCCTAACAGAATGTGCTGCTTTTTTAAATGGAAATAGTCTGTCTTTTGGGTCAAATGTGTGCAAAGGGGACAAATGTGATTTTAAGTGACATAAAATATTGTAATGTAATTGTGATTCATTCATTTTAACTCTTTGACAACCCAAAATTAGCCATCCAAGAAAGCTTGTAACAGTGAAAGCGGCAGCAAGTTTAAACATAGAGGAAGGAAAACATTTGCACAGCTCTCCTACAAACACACAGGCCTCAGTCTCGCAGCAGTAGGTGAGGCTGAATTGGCCCTCGAGTCTGTGAGGCGTCTGCAGTCTCCTGAATGTCTGGGCGTCTGGCGGAGCGAGGCTGCGCAGCCAAAGGGCTGGCTGTTTCCCGCCGGGGTTGTGGTGAGAAAGAGCCTGCTCAGCAGGTCGGTGTGAAAAGACTCTTATTGTCATTCGGCTTCACACCCCACCCACACACACTCCTTCACACACACACACACACACACACACCCACCCTGTTTCACACAGCACAGCGAAGCACAGCGTGAGGAGAGTTCGCTTAGCGCAGATTTCAGAATCACAGCCGCTTTATTTCTACGAGTATGTTGTTGTGAATGTCGGGCTGTTCACAGTACTCAGATACTGAAGTCACTGTTCGGGTGATTTCATCACAGGGAGACGGAGAAAGCGGAATTCCACTGATTTTTCCATAATAGTTCAGTGTGTGAGACGTAATCAGAGCGATTCAGAGTGGTTTGGTGTGAAATGGTTCAGATGTCTTTACAGTGGTGGTGATAGGAACCAGGGGTCGCCATGACTACAACACTAATATAGACATTTTATTTACTATCCAGAACCACCACTGAACCTACACGAGTCTTCTGAGTCTATATGGAATGTTGATGATGGAAAATAGTGGAAAATCTGAAATAATAAGTTTTCTTTGGGGACTATTTTGCCTCACAGCGCCCTGCATGTATCCCTCCACCATGAATGGAGTTTAAGTTCTCAACTATCCTAAAACAGTGTCTCAGTCATCAGGCAGTGAATTCATAACCATTTCATGTAGGAACTTTCTGTGAGGGAGCTTTTAGAGGTGGACGTCTGGTTCCTATCACCACCACTGAACAGTTCTGACTCGGTAAGTTTATCTAGAACAGAGTGTTTCACACCAAACCACTCTGTTTACATCTTAACTGTTTAATTATGCAGAAATTTTGAAAAATCAGTGTCATTGATTCAATGGCCCACTTGAACAGGGTTCTTATCTGTAATGTTGATGGTAAAATAGCTACACTAAACTATTTTAAGGCTGTTTTTTTTTCTCCCCCGTTTTTGTGGCTGCTTTTTTTTTCCCCTGCTGATCCTTTAACTCACAAAAGACCCGACAAGTCCACAGAATATTAACACGTGTACAAAATAAAATATTAACAGGCAGGGCTGGGCCACCCCCGATTGGTCCAAAGGGGCCGCCCGCGATTGGTCCAAAGGGGCCGCCCGCGATTGGTCCAAAGGGGCCGCCCGCGATTGGTCAGAAAGCTGCTTACATCCCAAAATCAGAACTTAACCTGCCCCGGAGCAGTTCAGGTGTGAAGTGCAAGTTGCCATGGTGATGCAGCCTAGTAAAGCGATCCACGTTCATGAGACAAAGTCCAGGTTTAGATCAGACTAAGCCAAAAGCAGCTGCCTACTCAAGAAATCCAGCTTTAAGAGTGTTAAATTAAACTGAAGCAACATCAAAAAGACTGAACATTATTACATTTCATTTGAAGATTCCCTACAGACACCCGGTTATTGATCATCGTACTTTCTCAAATAATATTGAAGTGATGTTTTGTACCCATTTGGGGCTTGGTGGTAAACCATGTGTTGTTTTTAGAAAGCAAAATATCAGTAATATAATTCTTATTAATGAACTGACTAGCTAACTAGTTAAGTGAGTAATAAATGAATGAATAAATAAATAAACAAACAAACACTGGAATAAACCCACAAGTCTAATCAGTGAGCTGTGGAGGCTCAGTCATTTCGTCCTGGTCTGGAGACTCGAGAATAGAAAACGTTTTTGTTTGGCGTTCTTACACAACATTAGTCTCTTTTAATAATTAATGAACATTTGATTCCTAATCGGGATTTGCAGCTCTGCACTCAGCAAAACTGATAAATCCATTTCCCATGATTTCTGTTCATCAGCTCTGAACTGCTGGATCAGCAGCTTCTGATTTGTGGTTTTAGTGACTCAGGTTTGATGACACTTTAAGAAGCTGATTTGCATTTTATTTTCTGTTTTAAGAGTTTTACATTTTCCCAGGCTTCCAGTTTCCCTTTTAAGATGTTCAGCTTCTGTTGATATTGTTACTCGGTTGTTCTGTTGTAATTTAACCCTCTAAAGAGCTGATATCATAGTAAAACTTTTAAAAACAAACCTTTTAAAAATGTTTTAAATGATAAAACTGTTTAAATGGTTAATGTGTTTAATGTAAAAACACAGTCCATACAATCTTTATGAAAACTGAGCTGCAAAAACATGAATTTACTCTTATCGTGATGTCACAGAAACGCATCTTTCAGGGCTTCAATCACATGCATCCACATATTCAGCCTATAGCTGTTGGGCCTGGTCTGCTTTTTGAATGAGGCAGCCAATCAGAACAGAGCTCATTTACATATCAGTCTTAAAGGTACCTGTTTTAAGAAAAACAGCCTATTTAATTTTAAGAGCTGAAGAAAGGTTGAGAAATGGTCATGTAAAAATTAATTATGACCATTTTTGGTACGTGAAATGACAAATATCATGGCAGTGAAAGGTAGTTTTAAATTTAATGACAATTTAAGCTTCCATTGATCAATTTTTTAGTTCCAGACTGACCCTACAGTCAGATTTTAATGGCAGCAAAGCCTGAGTTGTTATTCATTTGATTTGCAGTTGTAATTTTATAGATAATTTTAATACCAGTGAAAGATATTAAAACGTTTTGTGTTTTTGTTTTGTAGGTGCTTGTTATTACGACTCTAACCAGTCCATGTATGTATTTGGAGGCTGCACTCAGAGCAGCTGTAACGCAGCCTTTAACGACCTGTGGAGGCTCGACCTGAACAGCAAGGAGTGGATACGCCCGCTGGCTTCAGGTACGCTAACCTGCAAAGAGCTCAGGTGCGCTCACCTGCATTACTTACTGAAGAGCTTCAGGTGCGCTCACCTGCGTTACTTACTGAAGAGCTTCAGGTGCGCTCACCTGCGTTACTTACTGAAGAGCTTCAGGTGCGCTCACCTGAAATACTCGCTGAAGAGCTTCAGTGCGCTCACCTGCATTACTTACTGAAGAGCTTCAGGTGCGCTCACCTGCATTACATACTGAAGAGCTTCAGGTGCGCTCACCTGCATTACTCGCTGAAGAGCTTCAGGTGCGCTCACCTGCATTATTTACTGAAGAGCTTCAGGTGCGCTCACCTGCATTACTCGCTGAAGAGCTTCAGGTGCGCTCACCTGCATTACTTGCTGAAGAGCTTCAGGTGCGCTCACCTGCATTACTCACTGAAGAGCTTCAGGTGCGCTCACCTGCATTACTCACTGAAGAGCTTCAGGTGCGCTCACCTGCATTACTCGCTGAAGAGCTTCAGGTGCGCTCACCTGCATTACTCACTGAAGAGCTTCAGGTGCGCTCACCTGCATTACTCACTGTAGAGCTTCAGGTGCGCTCACCTGCATTACTCACTGAAGAGCTTCAGGTGCGCTCACCTGCATTACTCACTGAAGAGCTTCAGGTGCGCTCACCTGCTTTACTCGCTGAAGAGCTTCAGGTGCGCTCACCTGCATTAGTTACTGAAGAGCTTCAGGTGCGCTCACCTGCATTACTTACTCTAGAGCTTCATGTGCGCTCACCTGCGTTACTCACTGAAGAGCTTCAGGTGCGCTCACCTGCATTACTTACTGAAGAGCTTCAGGTGCGCTCACCTGCATTACTTACTCTAGAGCTTCAGGTGCGCTCACCTGCATTAGTTACTGAAGAGCTTCATGTGCGCTCACCTGCATTACATACTGAAGAGCTTCAGGTGTGCTCACCTGCATTACATACTGAAGAGCTTCAGGTGCGCTCACCTGCATTACTCGCTGAAGAGCTTCAGGTGCTCTCACCTGCATTACTCGCTGAAGAGCTTCAGGTGCTCTCACCTGCATTACTCGCTGAAGAGCTTCAGGTGCGCTCACCTGCATTACTCGCTGAAGAGCGCTCACCTGCATTACTCGCTGAAGAGCTTCAGGTGCGCTCACCTGCATTACTCGCTGAAGAGCTTCAGGTGCGCTCACCTGCATTACTTGCTGAAGAGCTTCAGGTGCGCTCACCTGCATTACTCGCTGTAGAGCTTCAGGTGCGCTCACCTGCATTACTCGCTGAAGAGCTTCAGGTGCGCTCACCTGCATTACTCGCTGAAGAGCTTCAGGTGCGCTCACCTGCATTACTTACTGAAGAGCTTCAGGTGCGCTCACCTGCATTACTCACTGAAGAGCTTCAGGTGCGCTCACCTGCATTACTCGCTGAAGAGCTTCAGGTGCGCTCACCTGCATTACTCACTGAAGAGCTTCAGGTGCGCTCACCTGCATTACTCACTGTAGAGCTTCAGGTGCGCTCACCTGCATTACTCACTGAAGAGCTTCAGGTGCTCTCACCTGCGTTACATACTGAAGAGCTTCAGGTGCGCTCACCTGCATTACTCGCTGAAGAGCTTCAGGTGCGCTCACCTGCATTACTCGCTGAAGAGCTTCAGGTGCGCTCACTATGAATTGATGTTTTTTCATTTGTCGTCTTTAACTAGCCGAACCTTTAGCTCCTGTCCTCCAGGGTTCTCTGCTTGGTTTGTTCTGTAGATGAGATGTTTCTTATTTATCCGTACAGGTTCCTACCCCTCCCCTAAAGCTGGAGCGACGCTGGTGATGTTTAAGGACCTGCTGGTTCTGTTTGGGGGCTGGACCCGGCCCAGCCCGTACCCTCTACACCAACCGGAGCGATTCTTTGACGAAATCCACACATACTCACCCTCCAAAAACTGGTGAGGCAAATAAACAGATAACTTTATCTGTAAATAAGCCTGTTTTGTTTTTTTTGTTCTGTTGAAATTCTGCAGATAAATAAATGACTAATGTATTTTTCTCTCTCTCGTTTTTCTCAGGTGGAACTGCATTGTCACGACTAACGGTCCTCCCCCCATGGCTGGTCACTCATCCTCTGTCATTAATAATAACATGATCGTGTTCGGAGGGTCTCTCGGAGCTCGCCAGATGTACGTAAACACTCACTAATATCTTGGAAGTCTGGCAAACCAGACGTCTCCCTACTGTCAGAGTGCAGTAAATATCTGTGCTATGTGGAGGTTTTTGTCAATAGACTAGGATCTCCCTAAAAATAAGGGGTGTTAATAAGTGTCTTCTGTTTTTAAAACTACGACCACGACATGAAACTTTAGTCTTGTGTCCTGAGACTGACCCATGTTTACCTGCAGCCTAATAATCCTTTAATAATCCAACCAATCGCTCAGTCGGAATAGAATACGACTGTGTAAACTTCTCAATCCGAATAGGCTAGTCCAATTGAGGCCTTTCAGAATACGACTTCTTTTCAACTGAACGAGAGGGGTGGAAGCATAAATAGAAGAAGAATAGAAGAATAATATCTGTGTAAACGCCTGTATCTGATTACATTCCCTATCGGAAACTTTAAGTCCGTTCTGATCATGTTCGTCACGTCATAGTGAAAGTTTATACCGTTCAGCATGGCGGAGCAGAAACTGGTCTGCAGAGGAGACGAAGTTTATGCTCTGATCTTTAAAAGACGGCGGTGGGACGGACGTCCAACTTATGTGTCTCAGAACACGACGTCTTCCTCTCGGCCTTCTTTAATAAGGACATGTGAAGGACGTTTTCCTGAGTCTGACATCATTTTAAAGCAATTAAAAACACAAGCACTGCTCACTGCTGCTCGTCTCACTCTGACTGGACTCACGTGATGCTGGTTGTCATGGTAACGTCTACACTAAGCAGTTCTATACGCATGAGCGTCATTTTGGATCTGATTACTTGTAGTGAACATGTAAACAGATTTTCATCAGATTGTTGAGTAGAGTGAGAATAAACACCTCAGTCTTCATCTATAATCAGACTGTATTTAATCAGATTGGAGAAAATCTCTGCGGTCACTCCTGATGAGTGGGAGTGAAACTCTAGCTTACTAAGCCTTTCTGGTAGACAGAATATAAATTAGAAGAATGAACGCTGAGAGGTTCAGTGGTACAGGCTAAGACATTGTCAGAAATATTGAGAAAAAGTTGAAATAGAAAAAGCTGTGAAACAAAGAAGGAATATCGTCACTGTCTAGAAAAAACTAATTTTTTTCTGATTTTTACTTTCTTTTCATCATTTGAAGACAGCACCTATAGTGTGAGAATGCCGTTATGAATGGACCAATAGCAACTGGAAATTGCTTGGAACAACATCTCTTTACATTAATTTACATTAAAGGTTTTTTATCGTCTCCTGTAAAGTTTCCACTTCAGATATACAGTTTCTTTTTCTTTGTACAGCAATGATACGTTACGTTTGTTTCTCACCAGTTTCAGTCATTCTCGTCTCTCTAGAGCTGCTCTAAACAGTAATGAATTGAGTGTGTGGAAGTGAAAGCGCTCCTCTGTTAGCTTGGTGCTAATGTTATATAGTGATTCTCACAGACGCTGTCGTTAATGTGATGATAGAAATTGAGTAACAGGGACTTTTCAGAAGAAAAATCCAGTGTATTAATAACGGTCAGATGTTGTGCTTAACAGAAAACAAATAATACGTTCAGTTCTGAGGCGCAGATTAAAGAAAAAGACCTTTAATAATCAGCGAAAGTCAGTGTAAGTCTGTGGGGAGCAGGGGCTGTGAGTCTGCTCTCTGTGTGTGTGTGTGTGTGTGTGTGTGTGTGTGTGTGTGTGTGTGTGTGTGTGTGTGTGTGCGCGCACATACATCTGGTCCAGCTTATAAATATCTTGTGTTGTGTATTTCAGGAGTAATGAAGTATGGGTGTTAGATCTGGAGCAGTGGTCCTGGTCCAAGCCCACCATTAAAGGCCCCTCCCCCCACCCTCGTGGAGGCCAGTCTCAGGTCAGATTTTCCTCCGCTTACCTTCATCTCCAGTGATAAAAGATTGACTGTAGAAGAACACGATTGTTCTCATAGACTTTCATAGGCTACGTTCACATTACAAGCCTCGTTGCTCAAATCCGATCTCTCTGACTCGATGGTTCACACTCGTTTAGGTAAGTGACTCAAATCTGTCATTAATGTGACGAACCGGTGTCCTGAAATGACCCTCATGAGCTCATCCTACTCAGTAACGTCACGTGAATGAATCGCGTTCATCATCAGCACAAACTAACGAGCAGAACGAGCTTCGCTGAGAAGATCATTAACTCTGATCAGCTCTCAGCTTCATTATTAGAGCGAGACGAAGGAGAAAAAGGTGAGATGAGCTGCTTTTCCACCGTTTACAGGCTTTAACTTCTGTTCGGCGCTGCTGCCATGGTAACGCTGAATGATGGTGCAGTGCAGTGGAAAAAAGCAAATGAATTCCGAGCGTCACATTAAGGTCGCATGGCCACGAATCGGATACGTATCCAATCTAGAACCACATATGAAAGTGGCTCAGGTCAGATTTGAAAAGATCAGCCCACAGCCCTGAAAACATCCGATCTGAGTCACATTAGGGCAAAAAAATCAGATCTGTGCCACTTCAACCTGGTAATATGAACGTAGCCTTAGTCACTGTTAGTGGATTTTGTCTGCTCCAGCTCCTCAAACCTCAGATGTGCAGTGAAAATGTGTTATTAACGTATCATGGCGTTTGTGTTTTTTGGCGTGTTGCTCATCCCTGTCTTGTTCCTTCTCCTTATTTCTTTGTCTTTTTCTGGTTTGTGTTGAAAGAATAGTTTCTTTATACAGCTGTCAGAGTCCTCACATTTATCTGCTTTTGTCTGTCACAGATCGTCATAGACGATGAGACGCTGCTCATTCTGGGAGGCTGCGGGGGTCCTAATGCGGTGAGGGTCATTTTTATTCTCTGCTCTGTCTACGCTGGCCGATGCCGTACACCTTATTGTCCTTTTTTCTTTTTTCCCCCCAAATATGTCATTTTCAGCACTGACTAAAAGATTAATGAACACAGACATTAATGATGATTAATGAAGTGTAAAAAGAGTTTTTTCATTGATGGACATCAAAAACATGATCACATTCTCTCTGATTACTTGAAAGTAGAGCCTGGCCACTTCCTGTTTCCCCCGTTATATAAAAAACAGGGCTGCTAAACAGCAGAGGGCGCCCACGACCGAGTTCCCAATGAATGGGGGGCTAAAATGTTTCTAATCACTTATACAGAACTTTCCTCTAATTTTAGAAAGTAAAATGATGTATTTCACTAAAACAGCAAGACAAGCTAACATTACTGCTACTGAGTGCTGATTGGTTGGCGAGCTCATTGGCTGTTCGTGCTCACTGACGTCATGAACGTACATGAGTTGCCATTTTAATCTCCTATAACTCGAGTTTAAAAGCTCTTAAAAATATAACAGCAGTGTTAAAATGTTTTCTGCTGTATTATGATCAGGAAATTATTGTATTATTTTACATTAAAAATGTTTAATCATTTATAAACGATGATTTTGCTCAAATGCTCCATATCAACCCATTCATTTTGGACTCGGGAGCGCCCTCTAGTGTTTGAGAAACCCAGAAGACATTACAGAGAAAATTCTCCTCTCTACAAGTTCTCTGGTAGTGATGTGGAAATTGTGAGCCAGTTTTGATATCCAATATTTTTCGTATGCCTGTCTGCTGGTGTCGATACACACACATTTCCAAAATGCTGAAATTGGGACGAAATCTATCTGGATTAGCATTCCAGAGAAATATAAGGTAACAAATGTCGTAAAGTGAATGAAATGCAGATATTTTAGCACAGTATTCTGTTCTTCCAAAGTACAATACATGCATTATCAAATCAGTTTGAAATCAGTTAAATTTAAACATTTGTCCGATCAATTTTTAAAGGAAATATTTGCTGATATTGATATAATTCCAATATTCCGGTATATGATCGTGCATCCCTGCTTGGAACAGCGGTCCTCATCTCGGTGTCCAGACTGAAATGGCCATTAATCAGTAATCTGTCTGTTTTCCAGCTGCTGAAGGATGCCTGGTTGCTGCACATGGGCGCCCCCACGTGGTCATGGCAGCAACTGCGAGTGGAAAATGAAGAGCATGGAGCTCCTGAGCTCTGGTGCCACCCGGCCTGCAGGGTACGAGCGTGGGCATGGATGTCTGTCTGTCTGCGTCCGTTAGGGATGCCAGTCTCATGACTTTATAACGATTTGAAACAATTTTAGGAAATTATTCAGTGCATCATGAAATCCCAAATTTCAATGCTAATGCTTAAATGTGACCATTTACACAGCAGAGACTTCAGAACATGCATAAGCACTGGAAGATGTATTTATAAAGCAGTACTTTAAAAAAGCTCGATGGCGTTTTATGAAATAAATGACATTGCATTGATATAAGGGGCCTCAAATTAAAGGAACAGTCCTTTGTTCAGTTTACGGCACTGTTATGAAGCATGATTTGCAAAAAATGGAACCTGTAAGGCTCCTTAGGTAATGGCAGTGTGTTATTTCATAAAACATCATGTCATCTTGTGATTCCTGCCATAAGCCGTTTATAAATATTTAAAGCATGGCTTTATGGGTGCTTTAATGCTTATGCATGTGTTTTGAAGATGCTGAGTAATAAAATTCTAATCAACAGTAGTTGATTTAACATTCAGCTACAATTTCACTTTCAATATTTTGTCTCTCTCTTTTTTAGGTGGGTCAGTGTGTGGTGGTCTTCTCTCAGGCCCCCTCAGGTCGAGCCCCTCTAAGCCCGAGCCTTAACTCCCGCCCCTCCCCCATCAGCGCCACCCCCGCCCCCCTGGGCCCGGACCCGCCTTCACTGCGCTCGCAGTCTCCGGTCCGCAGTGGTAGCAGCGGAGCGGCTGCCCTTGTGCTGGGCTCTGCCGAGGAGGCGCCCTGCGTCAATGGCCGCTGGGGGACGCTCCGCCCACGCCCGAGGGGCGGAGCCAGAGATGGAAGCCCCTCGTCTTCCTCTTCGTCCCAGCAGCCGTCTCCGTTGCAGGCTCCAGACAGCCCTCCTCTCCCTCCTCTGCTGAACGGCTCCTCCCCGTCGCCTCGCACAAGCCCCTCCCAGGCCGCGTCCCCGCCCTCCAGGCCTCATGGTCACGCCCACTTACCCACAGACTACGGCTGGGAGTCTCCGCCCCCTGCGGTTCCTCACGATCATCCGAGCACAAACGGGCTGCACACGCCGCCCCGAACTCCGCCGGGCGCCGTTTCGCCTGCCGCTCTCCGCAGAGGCCTCGAAGCTGTCAAAGCCCTTTCATCTTCGTCTTCATCCTCCCTTCCATCCTCCTCTTCCTCTTCTCTGGCCCAGCCTGGAGGAAGCTCCACCTTAAAAGCCCTCTCTTCGTCCTCGCCATCCTCTTCCTCCGTGCCCCAGCCAGGAGCGAGCTCCGCCCCCAGCAGCACTCCTCCTGCCCCTTCCTCCTCATCCAGCCCTCCTTCGCAGTCCGGCGCCGCCGCCGACGGACACTCCATCCCGCCGATTGCACGCCGACTCGGCCACCACCCGCCTCAGAGCCTCAACGTGGGCAAGCCGCTCTACCAGTCGCTCAACTGCAAGCCCATGCAGATGTACGTGCTGGACATTTCGCGAGCCAAAACGGACGCCGTGGTCTCCTGGAGGGTTTACGGAAGCGGCGGAGCACCCAGCGCGGTCACCGGACCCCCTGAAACGAGCCTGCACACGGTGGTCCAGGGCCGCGGCGAGCTGATCATTTTCGGAGGTTTGATGGACAAAAAGCAGAACGTGAAGTACTACCCCAAAACCAACGCCTTGTACTTTGTGCGTGCTAAAAGGTAATGAGGCAAAGTGGACGTTGCAAGCAGTAGCCTATGAAATTGGCCGTTTTTGGACGGACCGTACAGACAAAGGGACTGACCTGCCTTCAGCTGGGGAGCGAAAAGAAGCGAGGAGGGAGAAAGGAAAGGAAAAAAGTGACGTCTGCCGTTCTTCTGTTTCCCAACACTAAACTCCTCTGCTCTCCCAGTTTGCGTAAATATGGTAACAAACACATTTCAACAAATATAAAGGACACTCTTTGATGACCTGGTTGTTGTTGTATGACTAAATGGTTCACCTGACCTCGACTCCCTGCGTGTGAGTGTGTGAGTGTGTGTGTGTGTGTGGGAGAGGAGAGAAAATGAAGGGAACGTTTCTCCGTTTCTTGCGCGTCGTCCCCTGAAGCGTCCGGAAAACGGGAGGCACAGAACGACTACCTTGCTTTTATATCTCACTTCCTGCCTGCATTGTTTACATTAAAAAATAAGTGTGTGTGAGATGATGATGTGCAGCTGCTTTGTGTTCGAATGAAGTGAATGGCGTGTGTGTGGTGTGTGTTTGTGGTGGTTGATGTTTGGGAAGGGGTTTGAAGGGTATGGTCTATTGCAGTGTACTCTAAACAAAGTGAAACAATAAAGGCCTCCATGTCTTAACGCTCTTCATTCGCTGTCTTTCAGTACCTGCTTTGCTTTCGCTCCACGAACCAGCAGCGTTAGGAGTAAAGCAGCTTTAGCCACGCTGGATTGGAGAAAGCGATGGGGCTTAAAACATGTCCAGAGTGCCAGCCTTGAAGGGGAATTACACCAACTTCTCAAATTTCTGTGTAATTAAATCAAGACATTCAAAGCAGTGGCCAGAAATTCATTTCAGGTGTATCTAGCAGATTGAAGGGGAATTCCACCATTTTTTTTTCAAAATTTCTCCACAGTTAATTGGTTAAGATTGAGTGGTTTGAGACGTTCTAGAGAAACTTACCAGAACTGTTTGTAGTGGTGATGATGGGAGCCAGATGTCCAAAGAATAATGCCTTTAAAATAATTGGGCAATGTCTACAACACAAATATAGCTATTTTATTTACTATCCAAAACACCCAGTGAACCTACACGAGTCTTCTGAGTTTTAAATTGAATATTGATGGTGGTAAAATAGTGGGAAATCTGAAATAATAAGTTTTCTTTGGGGACTATTTTGCCTCACAGCACCCTGCATATTATCTATCCTTCCACCATGACTGGAGATTAAGGCCAAAATCTCCTCAAAACTATCATAAAACAGTGTCTCAGACATCAGGCAGTGAATTCATAACCATTTCATGTAGGAACTTTCTGTGAGGGAGCTTTTAGAGGTGGACGTCTGGTTCCTGTCACCACCACTGTGAACAGTTCTGACTCAGTAAGTTTCTCTAGAACAGAGCGTTTCACACCAAACCACTCTGAACTGCTCTGTTTACATCTTAACCATTTAATCATGCAGGAATTTTGAAAATTTAATGGCACAAAAATACTCACATTTTCCTTATACAAAAACAAAAACTTCCACTGGAGAATTTCTGGCTGCAGGCTTAATGTAATAAAGGTAAAACCTATTTATATGCAGCACATTTCATGCATTGAGATGCAGCTCAAATGACTGGACTAAGCTTCATTCAACCAGCCCTAAATAGACTGTCAGTCAGTTCAGTTTGGTTTGATTGGCCGGACAGTGGTGGTTCTTTAATCACTGACACTGATAAAGCTGAGACTGAGTGAATCGGCCTGTTTGTTTCGTCCTCGGGGGTCTGTGGAGCAGATGTGTGCAGAGTGACTGATGTGTTTATGAGCTCTGTAGGTTCTCTGTGCTGAGTTACAGTACTGGTAGAGTTACACACTGCATGCGTGGGCTGCCTGTTTACACACACATAAACAGTGTAATCAGATACGCTCAGAGGGAGGAGTGGAGTGGACTGGTCATCCCTGTGTTTATGGTCTAAATGTGTCCAGGCATGATGTGTATAATATCCAGGAGAAATCTGGAACCAAACCTGCTCCTCAGACCTCAAACCGACAGCTCACAACTAGGTGGGTTTTTTTGTATTTATGTTTATTCATAATTATTCAAATGATATTTAGTGATTTTTCTAAGCAAAAAATAAACACACTGTTGAGATTAGCTTATTTAATATATATATATATATATATATATATATATATATATATATATATCTTAACCAGCTAATCTTATATATATTAAATAAGCTAATCTAAAATATATATATATATGCTTAAAAATTTCTTTACTCAAAGCAGTGGTACTATTTAGAACTGAGTGCTATATAGAACCATTTCATGCCTAAAACGTTCTCTCTGATGGAGAATGTGTTGTATATGGTTCTATATAGCATCTGAAAGGGTTCTTATGTTGTTTCAAGCTTGACGTCATAACAACAGCAGAACTCCTTTAGGTGCTATATGGAACCATGTAAAATTTATATGATGGAGTATGCATGCTTTAAAAAGATGGTTCTTTAAGAGCTTTTTAGTAAAGAAAATGGTTCTCTATAGAACTAGGAACACTCAAAGAACCCTTTGCATGATTATGGGGTTCTTTGCATCATAAAAGCGTTCTTCAGATTGATGGAGAATCTGTTATATATGGTTCTATACAGCACCAAAAAAGTGTTCTGCAGTTGTTAGAAGCTTGACGTCACAGCAACAGCAGAACCCTTTTCGGTGCTATATAGAATGTATGTGTAAAATATGATGGAGAATACATTATATATGGTTCTATATAGCACTAAAATGGGTTTTGGTATCATGTCAAGTGTTGAACCCATTTTCATGCTCTGCAGAACCATGTTCTGTAAAGAACCATTTAAAAAAAATTCTCCATCAGTCTGAAGAACTGTTTCATCATGCAAAGAACCAATTGAATAAATAAATAAATAGAACCAATGCTTTTACTAAAGAGCCCTTAAAGAACTATATAGGTGCACTTTGTAGTTCTACAGTTACAGACTGTAGTCCATCTGTTTCTCTGATACTTTGTTAGCCCCCTTTTACCCTGTTCTTCAGTGGTCAGGACCCCCATGGACCCCCACAGAGCAGGTACTATTTGGGTGGTGGGTCATTCTCAGCACTGCAGTAACACTGACGTGGTGGTGGTGTGTTAGTGTGTGTTGCGCTGGTCTGAGTGGATCAGACACAGCAGTGCTGCTGGAGTTTTTAAACAGTGTGTCCACTCACTGTCCACTCTATTAGACACTCCTACCTTGTCGGTCCACCTTGTAGATGTAAAGTCAGAGACGACAGCTCATCTGCTGCTGCACAGTTTGTGTTGGTCATCCTCTAGTCCTTCATCAGTGGTCACAGGACGCTGCCCACAGGACGCTGCTGGCTGGATATTTCTGGTTCTCAGTCCAGCAGTGACACTGAGGTGTTTAAAAACTCCAGCAGCACTGCTGTGTCTGATCCACTCAGACCAGCGCAACACACACTAACACACCACCACCACGTCAGTGTTACTGCAGTGCTGAGAATGACCCACCACCCAAATAGTACCTGCTCTGTGAGGGTCCATGGGGGTTCTGACCACTGAAGAACAGGGTGAAAAAGTATCAGAGAAACAGATGGACTACAGTCTGTAACTGTAGAACTACAAAGTGCACCTATATAGTAAGTGGAGCTGATAAAATGGACAATGAGCGGAGAAACAAGGAGGTGGTCATAATGTTATGCCTGATCGTTGTATATATGTGATGTATGGTTCTCTAAGGGCTCTTTAGCTTGCTCCATGCGTGCTACTGCGCATGCGCGTTTTTTTCTCTTTCTATTTCATTATTAGATTAGCTGAATTTAATGTTATCTGAAAGTTGTTAGGAAATCTCATAAATATAATATTTAGCAAAGCCAGCGAAGTCTTTTTCTGCACGCTCTTCTTTTTCTCCGTTGTTATTTTAGTCTGAGTTTAAGATCAGTTTTCTCGGGGGGGATTATATCACACATTTCCCCCAAAGCCCCCTTTAACCTTTCCCCCCGTTTCTGCTCTGTCTCTGGCACGGTATGGATGAAAAAGAGGAATGTGGAACCTGATTGGCTGCCAGCCTGACAGACGGCGATGTGGCGCTGAAGGGCGCTGTGATTGGCTGCGCAGGGAGTGGGCGGGGCGTCACTGTGGACGTTCAGGTTCGAGCAGCATGTTTACTGAACGTCGAGCGGCACAAAGCGAGACGGCGGAGCAGAGCGCGGATGGGTGAGTGTGGAACCCGAGCACAGCGCCGAGCAACCCGGTTTACAGACCCGCAGAACCACAACGAGAACCTTTTAACCGCGTTACGGCTTAATGGAGCGCTGCAAACTGTCGCCAAACTGTTTATACATCGCTGGTTTGGCGTTCAAGTGCTAGTGCGCATGCGCGGTCCTCTTATTCTTAATTTTGTGATATATTTTCTGTTTTCTTGCGTGAATTAAGGGTATTATTTAAAAGCTGTTGGGGAAAAAATTAAGAAACAAGTATTTCTTCGTAGAAATGTGCTGCTCTTCGCGATTGTCACTGTCAGCAGACCTTTATTTTTCCTCATTCAAGTGTCAAAATGTATTTTTGAGAGACATCAGATCACTTTTTCATGTCTTTTTTCATTACAAAACAAAACAAAAAAATCATATTATTCCAAAGCTGTTAGAAAAATTAGGTTTCATGGAAATGTGCTGCTTTACATGACTCGTTTTCAGCAGAGGAGGCCAGACAAGTTTATTTCTATAACAAATTTACATAAACAAAAACAAAAAGAACATCAACAGGACGAATAAAGACTAAATGCTTAAGAATGAATAACAGTAAAAGATCAAAATCTTAAAATAACATAATAAAATGGAGTACAAAGTACATAAAGTAGAATAAAAGCATAAAAGGGGATTAAAGTAAAGGGCCTAAGTGTCTCTGAAATGAGTTTACTAAGGAATATTAAGAATAGAGTGCAAGTAGGCTGTTCTCATTTATTTGCAACCTGCTTATGACAGTATTCTTACTTATTTGTTGACTTTCTCCAGCATTTCATTTTCACAAGAATGAGCAGATCATTTTAAAGCTGTTGAAAACTTCAGAGGGCAGACTTTGTTATAGTTGGTCATAAAAATGTGCCACTGTTCATGACTGTCAGAGCAGACCTGCGTTTTCCTTATTTGTGTGTACTCTTGCTTTCTTTGTAAGATGGACAGAGACTTCTAGGCATTTTTTCATGTCTTTGTTGGTTTCACTGTTAAATCTGGTCCTTATCTGTCCAGAATTGTTGCAGAATTGTTCCTGGGGTCAAAACAAGCTGCCCAGTCTGCTGGACCCATGTGCTGCTGCTGCAGGACAACCTCCTCACACAAAACGGTAAGATCTTCACTATAAGGCTGGGCAGTATGACACTGTTTATCATTATCAGGATAAACTACATCAAAATGTGCTGTTTCTGAGCATATCAAGATATCTTCTATACCAGGGGTCAGCAACATGCGGCTCTTTTACTGTCCTGTTGTTGCTCCACAGCAGAATCAGATTTGTAGGTAAAAATAAAATAATCCTCCTTTACAGTAAAATAAAGCTCTGCTGATCGTTCAACACAGTTTAACAATAAATGGTCTTAAACTCTGGAGTTAATGTAGAACTGCTGATTCACCCTTTAACCCTGAAGATCAGCGCAGACTGCTGGTCACCATAGCAACACAGACAGCAGTCTCGCCCAGCTAATAGCTAACGAAACGGCAAAGAGAGAGATTTAAGATGAACATCGATAATTTAGAGATGAATGGACTTATTTGTGTTTATAATCACTCCAGCTGGTTTCCTGATACGTTTAATCTGCAGTGAGAAACTGAAACACTTAAAAGTCGTGAGGCTGAAGTCAGTTTCTCATTCGCCAGCTTCTTGTTTGAATTCTCCTGTTCCACCTTAAATGGTGCAGCAGTTACATTCTGGCCCCTCAGGCACCATTTAAGGTGAAACGGGAAAAATCGAACAAGAAGCTGGAGAACGAGAAGCGACTTCAGCCTCGTGAAAAGTCGAACACTGAGAGGCATTTTACAAGAAACTGTTCAAGTTTTGTGGAAAAGTTTCCTGCTGGAGATGCGAGAAAAGCAGCTATAGCTGAGCTAAAGCTTAAAGCAGAGCAAAGTAAGTCTGCGTTCTTATTTATATTTTTTAGTCTATACTAGAACCTCAGCACATACTGAGACACATTTACAGCCAGGATGGTAAAATGGACATAAAATATTGTGGTAAATATCCTTAGGTGGTTTGATTTTTGTTTTGTTTTGGTTTGATTTAGTGCAGCACAGTGTGTGAAATGTTGTAATAGTAACTGTGCTCATAGTGTTTTTAAATGTGGCCCTACTTTGTCTGTTCTGACTAATCAGATGTGAGAAAAAATAGATATTGTGACATATTCTGTATCATGAAAACCTTTTGAAGTATAATGATATTAAATTTTTGCCTTCACTCAGCACTACCTGTCAATATATTAAATTATATTTTGTTTATATTTTTGGAATATACAATAACAGTGTGTTTCTTTTTCATAGGGGTCAGCTGTAGCTCAGTGACCTCGTCCACCTATGCACACAGAGACGGACAGTGAGGTCTGCTTGAGGAAGAGAAGCTGGAAAGTATGAAAGTGTTGAAAGTGACGTTTCTCAGGTGACCGTCCAGCCGGGCTCTTTCATAAGCCTTAACGAAACAACTCAAACACTGGACGACACACGTGACCTCAGCGCTGAACCGCTTTGGCCTTATCGCCTCTGCAAACTCATTCTTTTCATCGCCACGGCAACCATCACTGCAGTCCTGCAGAGGAACGAGAGTGAAGTTATTACACCTCTTAACTTAACTTTAAATTACTATATATATTATTTATGCCTTGTACCAAGAACCCTCAGGAACCGTGACTAGTGGTTGTAATACTTGCCATCACCACGGCAACCATCGTCGTCACCTCTTAGCTAATGTCCACAAGCTAACATCTAGCTACACACCAGCATGCCAACAATGACAGGCACCCAGCTCATCAACTACCCCACAAACACTGCATTCATCACCCCAAGCTCTATGCCCCCCTTACCCCGGACCACCCCTGGCCTCCCTAAGCCCCCCCGTGCCCTGTGGCCCCCTCTGGACTTCACCCTGGGTGCGCTAGCCTGCTGCGGAGCGTGTGTATTCACCAACCCTCTTGAGGTGGTGAAGACTCGTCTGCAGCTGCAGGGGGAGCTGCGAGCACGGGGGTCCTACCAGCGCCACTACCGTGGCGTCCTGCAGGCCCTGTGGGTGGTGGGCCGGACCGACGGCCTGCGAGGTCTGCAGAAGGGCCTGACGGCAGGCTTGCTGTATCAGGGTCTGATGAACGGAGTGCGACTTGGGTTCTACTCCTACAGCGAAGCCATGGGCCTGACGGACGCGCCGGGGGGAAGCATGGTGGCGGGAGCATTGGCGGGGGCGCTGGGGGCCTTCATCGCCTCACCTGCTTACCTGGTGAGTCTGCACAGCCTTATAGATTTAAAGCCCTGTTGGAGCTGGATTAGTTTAATCTGGGTGGGTGCTGTAAAACTAGCAGTCCTGTTCAAATTGACAACATTTTGTTTTACCTGAAAGCGAGGCTAATATAATCCTGATGTTTCCAATGTTTCGATCCAGGCTATTTGGGGTAATTTGGGGAAATAACTCGGATCCTTTATTCTTTACGAATCGGCCAGTGAAATCATGCACAAATGACATTAACAGACCTCTTGTGGTAAAACTAATCCAGCTCCAATAGGGCTAAAGATGAGGCTTAGTTTGTGTCCAGTATAACAGCCTGAAGTCTCTGTGTATTTACAGCTTTGGTATTTTTGGACTGGTGGCCACTAGGGGGCATTACTGAGTCATGAGCTCACAACGATTTGATCAGACTCTTAGAACGAGGTGTGATCTCGTAATGAGAATACATGTCTGGGGAAAACTTGTCGAACTTTTGGTGCTGTATTGCTGCAAAATCCGTGGCTAACAAGGGCACGCCCCCTCTAAACCCCGCCCCCAAATTCCTCTAGTGCTCTTTTAACATCTGGAGTTCAATCAATAAAACAAACAAAGCTAGGTAACACTGTTGTTAGCTAACCAAACACACAGCTACATGCTAAACTGGGGTTTGTCAGCCGTGCTAACTTACATTACATCCATGTGCCAACAACTGGTCTGTTGATCGTCAGACAGTGTTGATGAGCGTCCCCCCCTACTGTCAACTCCGCCTTCACAAGGCATTGCATTCAAGAAATTTCGTACTCAGTTGTTTTGCACCCTAATTAGTTTATGTTTCCCCCACATTTAGCACGAAATCTCTCATGATTGCCCCCCAGACCTCCTCGTTCTGAGACCACATCTGGCCCTGCGAGACTGCGGTTTGATTCCGTTTAGATTGTTTAGGAAATGTTTCAGTAGAAAATCTCAAATTTACAGATCCACCTTGATTTATTCTGGTGTGATTCAGAATTATTAATAAAATACACAAATTACACAAATGTACATGGAAGAAAATTACACAGTAGTGGAATAAAGATAAATAAAAATAAGTGTTTTATTATTATTTATATGTTTGAAAATAGCCTGAAAAGCTAAAAAGTGAGAAAAGGCTTTATTGAATATTATTATAATTGATTCCAACACTCCAAAAACTGTACAGTTGAACCTCCATCTTCATAGAAATGCATATTTACATTTTTACACTTGTATTCATTGTTGTGCATGTGAGGGATTTATCTTTGGTTAGAGTAGCTCACAATGCATTTTTACAGTGATCTATTCGTGTATGCTTTCACACAGATACGCATAAATAAAATGCAAAATATGAAGTATAGATTGAGGTATTTATCCACCAGATAAACAACATACTGAAATATAACCAGCCCTGTGTTGTGGTGGTGCCTCAGAGTGTGCAGGTTGTTACAGCTGTTTATGAACTGTATTCTACTGTATAACCTTTAGAGTTTATCTATAACCTGAGACTAAAACTAGCCACAGTCTACTGAGGGGTCAGTATTTGGGGTGAGGATATTTCTGGAGATGTCGTGACTTTGAGGATGTGACCGTAATTGAAATGTGTCAAGGTGCCTCATTCCTTCCAGTTATAAATGACTCAGCATGCTGAGACTCTGGAGGCAAAGGCCAGTAATGAACCTGATCCTGAAGTTGGCTAACAGCGATACTGAAGTGGGCCAAAGTGGCAGCGCACGGACAACACGCCCCGATTCCAGCTCAGCAACTTCGCAAAGCTATTTTTCCTCTTAAGCCTGAGCCGCACGCCCCAACACACGCCTGCATATTTTAGCTGATCTTGTTTAGCATAAGCGTCAGAAATAGTTCAGCAAAAATTCAGATGTACAAGATTCACCCTCCCTTATTGTTCCCCACCCTCATTTAGAATGTAGTTGATCAGCTGAGACGTGTTTAGTGTCTGAGGTTTGTTTCGAGGCTAATGTACCTAACAAGTAATGGAAGCTTACATACAGTAATAATTAGCATGGTGCTAACTGGAGGCTTAAATCATCACAGACATGCCTCAAACCACGTGGAGTTGGTTGATAATCTTGATTATGTGGTTTCTGACACTGTATGACTCACTTATCTGTAAACATGGACTAAAATACTGACAGAATTCAATGACTCTATAGCTGTTTAATATCATACAGTGTCACAGTTTTATCTACACTGCAAGTCTATGATTGTTTAGCAACTCCATGCGGTTTGATGTGGGCGTGTGATTATTTAGGCATGCAGTTAGCATCATGCTAATTTGTGACTAATTCACTTCCAATTAGCTACATAAGCTGGGTAAAACACAGTCCATGAATTCTAAGATGGTCACCCAGTGTGGTCATGCTGGTTGACCAGCATACCAACATCCAAAACACAACATATGCTGGTTTCGTTTTTTTGGGGGGAATTTTTTTTCCCCAAAACATGATACCACCAGCGCTAGGAGAGCGAAGGCAAACATAGGCAAATCACAATCCTCCGAGTCCTGTGAAGCTCCACCACATATCTTCGTCATAACGTCGCAGGAGAGCTGAACACGCTTGGAGGAGAACACTAACCACCAGTTCTGCTATGTCAGCTAACAGACGCCTGCGCTGGCTAGCATCACGCTGGGTGATGGTCTGAAGACCAGGGCCATCCTACCCACCCAGAGAGAGCGAGACAGCCGCAGGTGGCTGTATCATCAGTAGGGATCGGATTTGCGACCTCCTGATGACAGAGCCAGCGCTTAGACGGTTGCACCGCTCAGGAGCCCCCTGGTTTTGGTGGTCTATCCTGTGTTTTACGTCCTGTGATTCGACGTAAAACTGACGAAGCCCTTAAAGGAGGAGGATTTTGTACCTTCTCTCCACTTTGCAGATATCCGTACTTTATGGGTATATTTGTGATGTAGCAGTTGGCTACAAGGGTAGGAATGAGTGTGTATTGATGGTTTGTATGTATAATCTTTATTCCATGTTTTGGAAAGCAAAATTCCAATTATGTGAAAATCTCCTGGCCATCCTACCCACCTAGAGAGAGCGAGGCCAGTTGTGCTCTCTTGGACTCCCGGCTACGGACGGCTGTAGCATCAACAGGGATCGAACTTGCGATCTCCTGACGACAGGGCCAACGCTTAGACGGTTGGTCCACTCGGGAACTGAAAAGATATTTTTAAAGAAAAAAAACAAAGAAGCAAACTTCAGGCACCAAATATGTCTTGGCTGATCACCTACAGTTGGGGTAAATTGGGAAATCGGGACAAAATCAGGTTTTTCCCCATGGTCGTCTTATAAGATTTGCATATGCAGCGCCGTCTTCTGTCCTGCAGGACGTTACAGTGGGTGTAAAACAGCTGTTGTTGTTGTTGTTGATTTGCGGGCTGTTGACCATATGTCCTCTCGTACATCAATGGCTCTCATCTCCGTCCTGCTGTAACTGTATACACTAACTGGACTGTTTGGATATTAGTGTGTATTTGGGTCACTAAATTTAGGCCTGTCGCCCCTCTCCCTGATTCTGCTGTTGGAGAGTGAGACCAGAGAGAGCTGCTCGCTGATCAGACGCAGTCATGTTTATCAGCGGTCAGTAGTGAACTCATTAGCGCACATGTAAGAGAGACAAACGGAGACGGATATTTATTGAAGATGATAATCTCATGTCCGCTGTGCAGTGTTATTCAGAGCAGAGGGGGAAGGGTGGTCAGCGTGCCTGACTGCTGCACTGACCGCACCTAAAAAAAACAATACAGCTAGTGGAAGAGTGCATGGGGTGAAAGGGGAAAACATGCTTTGGTAAGTTTCACAGAATTGGCCACAGAGCTTAAAGGAATAGTTCAGTCGAAAGACTTTCCCCTCATTTTCCCTCAGTTTTCTCCTTCTAGGTTTGTTTATGTGCTTTCTAGGGATGTAATAATACAGCATCCCGGATGGCAGCATATAACGGTTCACTGGCTTGATAAAGTCAGAGCCCACGCTGACTGTATGCCACTGCTGGACCACCCTCAGACCACCCAGATTACTGTCCTCCACACAAGGTCTAGCTAGTTTTTTTTTTTCTCTTCAAACAGATTTTAAATGTGCACAGACTTTTATTTTGGTGGCTTCGTGATTCAAGATCGATGACTCTGGCTGAACGTAGCTTGGATGCAACCCAGCTTGGTTTCTAGAGTTAAAATGGAAGACTTAAATTCTTCAGAGAGGGTTTGTTGGTGCTCCTCTAGGAGACTGGCTAATGACGCCATGTTAACATCGTTGCTCGCGTCTTCTTTCTTGCCTAGTTTGGTTGGTTTGGAGGACATATTTCAGTAACCCAGATAGTGAGCATATATCGGTCCGCTGGCTTGATAAGGTCAGCAACCCGTTAATTGTACGCCACTGCTGGTCCACCCTCGGACCACCCAGATTACTGTCCTGCATACAAGCTCTAACTAGTTTATCTCCCTAAACCAATTTTAAATGCACACAGACTTCCATTTTAAAGAATAAACGTACAACTTATTACAAACAATTGAGAGCGAAAAAATAATGAGTAGGTCTGATATAAAATGATTATATTGAAAATGTTGTTGCCGACACTGAGCTGGATTAAAATTACTTACTAAACTACAAAGTATAACTAAAGAAAAGAAGCAAGGATGAGTAAATTGGGCTGTAAGTGGAAAATGAGCGATGATAAGTGGAATTATTACTCCGCTTAACCAACAGTGGACCACCCAGTAAACACTGAGCAAAACACCACTGGACCACCAGCTTTGCCATCAGTGGGCCGACAGTGGTCCGCTATCCTCTTGCTATCAGGGAATAGGCAGCAAAAAAAACGAATTTGTCCAGTTAATGAAAAACCTGAGGTTGCGTTGCAGGGTTTGAAAAGTTAAATTAATAAAATGTAAAAACAATGAAGTGAGACACAGCACGTCTACTCCATTCCCACTCTTAGCCGGGAGTACAGACTTTTATTTTGGGAAAATAAATAAAGACAAATGTTACAAACTACTGAGAGAGAAAAAGATGATGACCCGAATATAAACTGATTTAGTTGCTGACTCTGTGCTAGTTTGGTCAGAGCTGTAGAACCAGCTTTATTTATGATGTAACTGTTAAAGTTGTTTACTAATTTGCAAAGAATAACAAAAGACAGAAATGAAGGAAAAATAATTGCCATTTTATGTACGTCATACTGTATCGTTGTATTTTGACTAGCGAGTTAGCCTACGGCTAATGTGTTAGCTTAAGGCTAGAGCATTATTTTTGGTACAGCTTTTCAAATAGTACTGAAAACTGAGGCAACACACAGCGCTTTGTAAAAAACATCAGTCGAGGCACCACAGTGTCATATCGAGGCACCACAGTGTCATATTGAGTTAAATTATGAATGTTGTGAGTCGCTAATGCTCTCTGACACTGCTTCTTTAATTCTGCACAAGCTTAGGCTAATATGCGAAATAATATTGCATATTGTAATGTTATATTACTGTATAGCATTACAATAATGATGTAATGTAGACTGTATGGCCTACAGTTGTTTATAACACTGGACCGAAGTACAGACAAAATACAGGCTTCCAGGTAGCGGCTAACAGTGCCTCAGAGTCAGAAACCACATAATCAAGACTATCAGAGATGCTGAACAGCTCCACACGGTTTGAGGCGAGTGTGTGAGGATTTAGGCCTGCAGTTAGCGCAGTGCTAACTAGCAGTTTTTGTCTTTTACGGTACTTCTTAGCTACATTAGCTTAGTAGCTTCAGTGTTAACCATAGATATCCATATCTAGATCCCGCGCTGTCTGCTGTTCTCTACCTGAGGCGATACGTCTGCGCGTCCGCCATGTTGGAGAGGTCAAGATCCGCTTGTGAACAGACTCACTTGCATTGAGAGACGAAGAGTCTCAGGATTAAATCAGCCACAACTTCCTTAGTACTCAACCGATTTTCACCTAATCTGTTTAGTTATAATCCTCAGACACAGATTAATCTGGGCTGCACGGATCTGCTCTCGGGAGCTTTTATATCTTTAATAACTGATCGTGATAATTAGCCGTCCGAACGGAAAAGGAAAGTATTCAGTCTGGACCTGATGTTAAAAACTGAGTTTAGTGTGAGAAACACAATCAGACTCATCAGCAAATCCATCAATGTGTGAATCACTTCTAATCTTAATACACATAAAAATAAAATAAACCCCCAAAACACAGTAAGAAGGATGAAGCTGAAGTTGGCTTCCTATTCGCAGCTTCTTGTTTTCCCGTCCTACCTTAAATGGCGCAGCAGTCACTTTCTGGCGCCTGGAGCTGCACCATTTAAGGTGGAACGGGAAAATTCGAACAAGAGGCTGGCAAATAAGAACCTAACTTCAGGTTTGTGTAATAAAGTGCTAATCTATTATCAATATCTACACAGATTAAGGAGTTTAAGGACTATTAAATGAAATAAGCTTAATATAAAACCAGAGAAAAACAATCACATCCACAGGTTCTCTGTGCCTCATCAACCACACGGCCATATCTACACAAACATCACACAGACATGAGTGTGGATCGCTGCGTTCCCTCTGTTATATAATCCTATCCCACTTTCTGAGTGTAATATTCCTGAAATAGTGTAATTTTGGACAGTATCTTTCTTAAACTGCCGCTCTGTAATGATACTGAATGCAGTCCAGCAGCGATGTGGACCCCAACACGGCATCTAGGTATGTGTATCTATGGTTAAAACTAAAGCAGCAACCTTCAGATACCAAACACGTCTTGACTGCTCGACTTGATTTGGTGTGGGACTGATTTGTGTCAGGTTCTTGTGCTGAACTGAGTTCTTCTACTGCTTGTTCTGATAATAAGGAGTTTTATTTCACTGTTCTAAGCTCAGAGCTCTAACTCTGTCTCTGTAAACGTCAGTAAGCTGCCGGTTCTGTCCGGAGTGCACAGATGCTTGATTGTTCTGAGCTCAATGTGGTTCTGTTATCGAGTTACGCTCCTCATTCCAGTGGAGGGAGCGTGTATAGAGACCGAGTTCCTCAGCTGGGCGTATAAAGGTGTTTTTGTTTCCTCTGCAGGTAAAAACTCACCTTCAGGCGCAGACGGTGGCGGCCATCGCTGTGGGTCACCAGCACAACCACCAGGTCAGCAAATGGCTCCAGAATTAAAACATTAAACAAATCATCAAAATATATACTGCATCATCACACAGTACAGGTTTGGAGTCACTGTTTACTAGGGGTGCGGGGAAAACTCGATTCTTAGATGCATCGCGATGCGGACGTGAACGATTCTGAATCGATTCATTCAACGTCAAAAATCGATTTTCTAAATATTTAATTTATACCTTAATGTTGACGGAACGCAAAAGGCGGAACTGGAAGTGGGTAAGTGCAGCGCCCGGACAGTCTGTGGCGGCACATAACAAAACACTACTGGAGGAGCGAGAAATCCGACCGGCTCCCTCTGCATTAAAGCCAGGTTAGATCAGGAGTCACAACACAAATGATAAGAAGAGCCATTTTGCCTTTCAATGAAGTCAAACCACCTTAGGAGCCACAACATTTAATGTCCAGTATGTCTCAGTATGTGTTAATGTCCTAGTATGGGCTAAAAATGTAAACGAGAGCGCAGATTTACTTCGCTCTGCTTTAAGCTTTAGCTACAGCCGCTTTCCTCCCATCTCCGCCAGGAAACCTTTCTTCAAAACTAGAAGAGTTTCTTGTAAAATGTCTCAGCGTCCGGCTGTTTTATGAGGCTGAAGTCGCTTCTCATTCGCCAGCTTCTCGTTCTAATTTTCCCGTTCCACCTTAAATTCTGCCTTAGGCACTGAATGTAACTGCTGCACCATTTAAGGTGGAACGGGAAAATACGAAAGAGAAGCGAGTTCATTTACGCAACTTTTTAGAGAAAGACAGTCTCTCAGCAGATTTAACCAACCGCGCTGCTTATAAATGCGAATAAGTCTCCAAATGTTCGTCTTAATCTGTTTCTTCGTTCGCTACTGGCGAGGCCAGACCTCGGGGCTGTGTGACCTGCTGTCTGCTGTCTGTTCTCAGTCGTTGAGAAACAGGGCTTTCGCGTTATGCTGCACACTTTGGAGCCGAGATTCAGCGTCCAGTCTCGAAAATACCCCCCCCCCTCTACAACGAGACCAAAAGGGTGGCTGTAACGCGCTGCGTGGACACCCATCACCACGGGATCTTATTTCAGGGCAACAGCGCATTTTATCGCACATGAGTGGCAGCAGCGTCTCTGAATGAGAGCCTTCTAGTTCACTTGCCGCATCACTTCCATTTGATTTATTAATAAAAGATATTTTAGATATGCATTTAATATGCATTTACATTATGGATCATTACAAATACTTTGCTTTAAAACTACCAAGTCCTCAGACAGTAGGAAGACAGAAATCATGTATAGAGAAAAAAGATGCATCGATAATCGTTTTATAATCGCATCGCAGCCTCTGAATCGTAATCGAATCGAATCGTGAGGTGCCTAAAGATTCCCACCCCTACTGTTTACAGTAATTTAAAATCAGTGTAGTTGCTGATAAACATATACAGTCGGTCTAATTCAACATTAGTGTTTTATAATTTCACACCTTTCAGTTATTCTTAGCTACTGTAAACAATTACAGTTTGTCCAGAATGGACAACAAACTGAAGAAGACTCTAAAATGAATAAAATTCTAATAGAATTCATATCTAGAATTAAGTTGTAATAAAGTTAATATCTAGAATGAATTTCTGATCAAATCAATGTCCTCGATGAGCTTCAGAATGAAGATCTGATAAAATGTATATGCAGAATGAATTTTTAAAAATTAGAATCCAGAATAAAGTGATAATAAACTGGGAATCTAGAATGAAGTTCTCATGAAATTAATTTTCAAGAAATTAAGTTCTCTTAAAATAAATATCTAGAATAGATTTGTGACCAAATTAATACGCAAAATTAACTTCTGATAATCCAGAATTCTGCATATTAATACAGTTAATATGCAGCATCAAATTTTAGTAAAATTACTCTCCAGAGTTAAGTTCTAATAAAATGACTAGCCAGAATGAGAAATAAGATTTATATTCAGAATGGATTTCTAATAAAGTGTATATGCAGAATGAATTTATGACAAAATTAAAATCCAGTGGAGATGCAAAGTGGGAGGTGGGGATGGAATGGGGACGTTTCTTTGATTTCATGATGCCATATATGTTAGTATATACACTCTTAACCCTTGTGTGGTGTTCAGGTCTGTGGGACCCATTTTCAGTATTTACCAAAAGAAAAAAATGATGTGATTTATTATTATTTCAACCTCAGATTTTTGGCCTTTGCTCATTTTCTGTGAAGAACATATAAAATAACCCATTTTCAGTGTCTTCACTCTGTTCACCCCCCACACATTTATATTACACGTGTGGTGTTGGGTGAACCTGCGGGGAGTAAAAGTGTGGAGGTGCTGTGTCCTTCACTCTGTTCTCCTCCTACATGGCCTGCTGTTAGTGTGTGTGTGTGTGTGTATATGTGTGTGTGTGTGTGTGTGTGTGTGTGTGTGTGTTTGTATATGTGTGTGTGAGGGTGGACAACATGGACAGGCTGCTGACTGGCTACAGCTGCTAAAGGAGAACCCTACGCTGGACACTTGTGATATTTTAAACATCTGGTATTTTTACATACATTGTTATGGCTGTATTGATTTAATAAACAATATTGTGGTGGGTCCAGCAGACCACTGAGGAACAAACACATCAACACCACACAAGGGTTAAAAAAAAAGATGGTTCTTCGAGGGTTCTCTATAGGACCCTGAACACTCGAATAACCATTTGCACGATTAAATGGTTCTTTGCATCATGAAACGTTCTTCAGATTGATGGAAAACTTTTTGACAAGGGTCCTATATAGCACCAAAAAGGGTTCTTCTGTTTTTACAAGCTTGACATCATAACAATAGAGGAACCCCTTTCGGTGCTATAAAGCACATTCTCCATCGATCTGAAGAACACCTTTACGGTGCAGAGAACCTTTAATCATGCAAAGGGTTTTTTGAGTGTTCGTGGCCCTATAGAGAACCATTTTCTCTACTAAAGAACCCTTGAAGAACCAGCTTATTTAAGTGTTTATGCCAAAGGACAGTAAAACAATTGTTCTCAATATAAAAGTGGAGATATGAGGTTTTTGTGCGACAGCTGTGACGAACAGTAGCTGTAAAATGTGCCGTGACGCAATTGCGGCAGTGTGTGTGTGTGTGTGTGTGCGTGTGTGTGTGCGTGTGTGTGTGCGTGTGTGTGTGTGTGCGTGTGTGTGTGTGCGTGTGTGTGTGTGCGTGTGTGTGTGCGTGTGTGTGTGTGTGTCTACGTGTGTGCTTCCACATCATCCTCCTTCACACACCTCCTGCAGGTCAGCAGCTACAGCCAATCAGGAGTCAGCAAACAGAGGCGTGACACCTGAGCATGGTGACAATGAGAGGACTTTCAGACCGACACGCACAGAAACGGCACTCAGCAGTTACGCAATCACTGAACCGGCCTCAGACCAAACATTACAGCCTGAACGCCGCTTTATAGACGCGAGTTAAGATCAGTGCACAGCCGTAAAACACCTACTAATGCAGAGTTACATTAAAGCGATAGTTCGGTGAAAAATCAAAATCCCCCAGTTTCCCCCGGCACCCCAAACATAGTCGATCTGCTGAGACGTCTTTGGTGTCTGAATTGGTTCTGATGGTTCTGTTCAGGTACATTTTTCGTTCATCAAGGTACAAACAGTGTAAATGTTCCCTCAAAGCTCCAACAGTGGTTTTAAGGTCTGACTGTGAACCTTAAATAAGTTTTTCCAGGTGAAAAGTTCGTATTTGTACCTTTTCATAACCGAATGTTTTAAACAGAACAGTAAAATAAAAGCCTGGAGACGAGACGGGGTGTGTGGAGTCAGTACAGCTCAGAACATATCATTTCAGTGGATTATGGTTCAGTTATGTTCCCTGACTGAAGGTACTGAGATGGAGCCCTTGAGGGTCCCACCTCATTGCTTAGAGGGGAACTGACCCAGTGAGAGTGCAGTACGTTTTTTTTTTTTTAATAGAAGTTTAAACCCCCAATTACAACCCCAAATCAGAAGAAGGTGGGACAGTGTGGAAAATGCAAATAATGAAAGAAAGCAGTGATTTCTAAGAGAAATTGATTTGTATTTCATCACAGATAGTAAGAGCACAGGATATTTCATGTTTTGTCTGATCAGCATAATTTCATTTGTAAATATATACATCCATTCCTGCTGTTTAGACCTGCAACACAGACCAAAAAATTAATCAATCAACTTATCAATCAATCAGCAATCAACAATTATTTTCACTCGGAAATACATAGAGAGTGACCCTCATTTTCAGTGCATTTACAACATTAAAAGGATTGAAAAAGAAATTAAAGTAGAATTTAATCAGGTTAATCTAAAATGAACAAAACTGCAAATTAACAGAAAAAAACAGACGAAATAAGAGGCAGATGATGTGGTTTCGGACACTGTATGACTCGCTGTTATCTATAAATATGGACTAAAGTTCTGACAGAATTCAGGCTTCAAGCTGCTTCTGTTCTTAGCTTTTACATTGTCTTGTTATGCCTCATCTGATTGTCTACATTTGGGGGGAAAAGCAGACAAATTGTTGAGTTACAGCCAATCAGAGCAGAGCTCGTTTACGTATACCTGTTTAATTGTAGGGGATATAGAGAAGCTGGAGAAATGGTCATTTAAAAATGAATTGGGACTGTTTTTTGGTATATAAGACAACATATTCTAAACCAGAGGTGTCAAACTCAACCACTAAAGGGGCCACATTAAAACGAATCTGTGGGCCAGAAAAATAAAGTTTTTATTTCATTTTTAGTTCCATGTTGTGCCGTAAGCCAAACTGGCCGTTGTTTATTCAAAATACGCAAAAACTGCAGTAAAATACAGGCAGTTGTAGTAAACCGTGAAATATTACGCCAATATTCAGAGTGTAAATGTACCCAGGAGCTCAGTCTTTTAACCTGCCTGTTTGGTTGATCCTGCCATCCTTTCTCTGCTGCGCGTTCATTAAGACTTGGGCTCAGTTTCAGCTGCTGAGCTGACGTTGGGTGCTTATTTTGGTTGAACTGCAGCTGAAATGCTGTTAGTGTGTTTGTTGATGTGACTGGAGTGGAACTGTGTAGAATTGAGGTGTAACCGCTGTCCCATAGACTGTTGTTGATGTAGGAGAGTCAGAGCACATATTACGTTGCAGTGCATGCTGGGGACTGTAGTCAGTGGTGGACGAAGTACACAAATCATGTACTTGAGTTAAAGTAGAAAGTAGTCCCTTTAGACCTCCACTTGAGTAAAAGTACTAAAGTATTTGCCTTCAAATGTACTTAAGTATCGAAAGTAAAAGTACTAAAAGATTAATTATGACTCTGATGTCCTTATAACAAGACTCGCTTCATTAACTCATTTTAGGTGAAAATACTCCAGTGTCTCTCTTGGTAAACCAGTCTTTTAATAGAGTCATTAATTAGTGACGCTGATGTCTATTAAAATTATCATAAGCACAAAACACTGAAGGCAAACAGTTTCCATCAGGTAGAACTGAGTGGCTCTGAAATCACTTTTTACAAACAAGCAAAGTTTCAGTTTAAGATTTATTTGAACTCAGTTACAAGTTTAAGTTTAATAAAAACTTTAAACTCAGATTCACAAATGAGTTTCCTTTACTAAACTGCATCTGTAGGTCTCTGTTCATAAACATAAACTAGCCAAAACTAATTTACTATAAAATGAAATGTGTTTGTATAAATTCAGAATAAAGACACGTCAGTCACAACTGCATATGAGTACATATTTCTATATTGTGGTCTGTTTACACAAAGTTAGGTTAGTTTCTTTATTTATGTCGAACAGACACTCCCAAATTTTACGCTGCTGCCCTGACGTTGAACCGTGTGCTGCACTGGGTCGGTATGACCAACAGGTCAAAAACAAGCTCTAAACAAAGTGACCGCTGTGCCCTGATTGGTGTTCTGCTTCACGCTTCTTTTGTTTTGACGTTAAAGTTTTATACACACATAAACCAAAAGGAAGGACAGATTTCTCATAATGTAGTGCAGTGAAAGTAAAAAGTCTCCCAAAATGGAAAAACTTCAGTAAAGTAGAGATACACGAAAAAACTACTTAAGTACAGAAACAAATTACATTTCCTAAGTTACTGTCCACCACTGACTGTAGTGCAGCTCATTGTGAAACGGACTGATATTAATATAAAATGAAATACTTCCTGATCCGGCCTGCAGGCCTTGTGTTTGACACATGGCCTCTAAACCATAAGAAAAGAAGGATTAAATGGACACGTGTGGGACACAGGACCATGATAAGGCTCACTTCTTAGAAGGAGAACTGAACCTGTGTTTGATTAAAAAGGCCTGAATAAGCGAAATATGGACTGTTATCAGAAACTTGAAAATATTCTGCTGCTTAGCTCATCATATTTTTATGTAAGCGCAGAGTCTCTGACCTAATTACTAATCTTAATTTGATAACGTTAATCTGTGTCACTCGTAAAACCGTCTGTTTATGGTCATTGTAGGTTACAACGTGCAGTAAACACTCATTCATTCTGTCAGTTACTCTTAAAATCTAAACCATATGAGCTTAAGAGCTTATCCTGCTCATTCCAAACGTCCAGTATGCTGGACGTTTCATTCCAGTCCAGGTCTTTAGAAGCAGGTGTGTCACTTTCACTCAGCTTTGTGTTCCTCCAGAACTCAGTCTTTGTATTGATTGATCATTTGATGACGTTTTCTGTTTTGTTTTGTTTTTTTTAACTGGTCATAAACAAAAACAGTCATGGCAGCTGGAGAGACGGACAGTCACCGCCTCATTGGACATTGGAATGAGGCACATAAGGTCTACAAGATTTTCCAAAAATGAACATATTATCGTCAGGATAACAGACTCAAACTAAAAACTGAACATTTCTTGTGTTTCAGGAACATAATTTCCATCTGCAGCTCTGAGCGAGCAAATAAAATATATGTCATATGTGTCTTATTACATATAAATATATGTAAAATGTAATATAGCTTATGTAATGTTTTCTGAACCTTTTTTCAATCAGTCACCTCGATTGTTTCAACCATTTGTTTTGGATATGGTAAAGTATAATAATTGAAAAATGACTTAATATTAATTACTTATTATAAAATTACTTAACGTTTTTAATATTTGAGGGGCCGTTCATGCAGAAGTCCAGGTGGTTCCACTGTGGCTTCAGTAACTTTTTCATACATACAGTAAACACAGGCCAAGTTCAGTGCTTGCCTTGTGT